GACATCAGCCTCAGCTGTGCTTTCTGTGTAGTGCTAATTAGCAGATGTTAGCATGCTAACATGCTAAACTATGATGCTGAACATCGTAAACATTATACATATTTATCAGCATGTCAGCAATGTCATTTTAGCATTTTAGCATTTGACTATGCAGATGAGTTGCTGGTCCAACACTGCCTTGAACGGTTACTCTGTTTGTGCTACCATGTGACTTTTGCTTTAAAAGTGTTGGTTCAGATTCACCAAAGTCACACAATAGCACACACAGTATCACAAACTAACTACCTGATTGAAGTGGCGGTAGACCAGCAGCTCCTGGTGTTCAGTGAACTAAAATGACTGTTTGTCAGTGGAGTCTGGGTGCTTTGACGAGAATATAGGTGAGAAACTGAAGCCATTAACGGCTTCCCCCGTCGGAATAGGCTGTCTGACGGAAAGGTAAAATGGTGAAAATACTCTCAATATAGCGTACACTTAAACTGATGTGTTATTTTTTAGGTGGAACTTTCTTTGGATGGCTAAAATACATGTTGTTGTTGCTCACCCGTCTGTAGCAGTAGATTGATTTAGCTTGTTTATCTTGTTTCATACTCGGTTCAGGGTATCAGGTTGAAAGGTGCGCAGTGAAACCTCCAAGGTAAAAGCTACATCAGATGGCCGTGGCCCTGCTGGCAACACTGATTCAAGGCTTTAAATTGAAAGTCATGACCATGTTGATCTTCACAGCCCGCTGTCAGCAATGAAGAGATTACAGTCACATTAATTGCTGTGTCCTCTCTGCCAGAGTCTTTTTTAGTTTCTTGGAGAGTCTGATTAGTATTCTCTCTGCATGACGAGCTGGTGGTGGTCACACTGTGCCAGAGTTTTCTCTCTCTCTGTCTCTTTTCTCTCACTCCTCTCTACATCTCTTTTACTCTGTATTTTTTCCTCTCTGTCTCTTTTCTCTCACACCTCTCCCTTCTCTCTCTCTCTGTGCTTCCTCACATTCCCTCTCTCTCACACACACACATTTGGAGACAAAAGGAAAAATAACAGGAGTCGTGCCCTATCACCATCAACCTTTCATTGAGCTGAACTGCACTGAATATGGTATTTGCCCTTAACCTGCTGGTCACTAATTGCGTCTGTGAGCTCCAGAGCTGCGGTTTTTAGTGTTTTGCTGCGGAGGCTGATACATTTTAAAGTAAAACATTAAAAATTAATACCAATCCTACACAACGGTAATAATGACTATAAAACCCCAAACTTGGAGCCCATTACTGTCTGCCATTTAGCGTTTGTTTTCTATTCGCTTGTGTAGACTCATCCCCCATTTTCTCTCAAGTTTTAAATGCCAGATTCCCTCTGCACTGCAGTCCCTGTCTCTGTTAACTCCGTTGGCCCCCGGAGGGCTGCAGACACACACCTCTGTGACACACACATGTCCCCAGCAGCTTCATTTCACCTGCCAATGATGAGCTGCACCGGGAGGGCAAAATGTGTGGGAGGTTCACACCACTTCCTCTGCAGCCAGTTCCACCTCCAGCTAGGGCTAGGCAACACCTCAGAATGAATGAAAAACAGTACAGATACTTGTTATTATCAATTAAAAGCGGCTAATATACAACAAGTTCTCCAAATTACACAACAGAATACGTTGTTTGTCTGTGCTCTTTAGATCAGTGGTTCCCAAATGGTGGGTCACGGTCCAAATGTGGAGTCAGTGAACAAGTTAATGGAGACGATGACTTGTAACTCCTGAGTCAGTAAAAAGAATCTTAGGTTTCAAACTCTTCGTTCATGACCATGACTGGTACATCACTATTTAACAGAGACAGCAAGCTAACTCAACAACATGGCCAAACTGTGTGGAACTTGAACTAATGACTAATGAGAAATCTTGACCCTGTGGCTGGACCAGTTGGGAACCACTGCTCTAAAACGTCATGGAGGCATTTTCTAATCTGACACCCCTCAACATTTTATGATGTGACAACCTAATGGTAAAGATTTGTCGAAGTCAAGACCTTTGAAACATTGATTATCTGTAGGTATTATGTTGCTGCCATAGTCTCTGTGGCCACTAGAGTTGTCACTTGATCATAAGCATGTGTTGTTCTGGGGCGGTTGATGAAATGTCTTGGTAGGACAGTGTCCTAATGAACTATCATGTAGGGGAGAGGGGTGAGTGCATCAGTTATCGGCAACTTATGACTACATTTTCATCATCACAAACTGATTTTCCAATCATCTGTTCTCTATTAATTACTTCATTACGGGCATGTTAGAACATACATTTTTTATTAAGTAATATACAAGAAGAAGTGCATGAGGCTGCAGGTCGAGTGCCAAAGATAATCAACTCAAGTGTAATGCCTTTTAAGTTTGCTCATTGTTGTAACATTAAATTTAACACTTTTCATGGACCTGTAGACACTCTAGGCCCGTTTCCACTGAAGAAGTTCTTGGTACTATTTGGGGGGCAGGAACTACTACAGGAACGTCCTCTCGCTCGGCCCTCTCAACTGCTGTGTCTCCACTGAGAGAGCGGAGTAGGAGGAAGGTTCCTGTAAAGTTACCAGGCTCTGTATGTGACGTAATCGTTGGGCGACCATTTTGACCGGGGCGACGTAGGGGTGTAGGGACGCCGTTAGCCGTTAGCGGTTACTGTAATAACTCCGGCCACGGTCCGTGAAAAAATTTTTTTTTCCAGCAGATGTCTTAGTTACAACATGATTGAGGTAACTGGAGTAGTTTCATGTCGTATCCGACAACGGGAGGCTTTTAACAGATGACGTCCTGATGTTAGCTTTGCTGCTGCTGTTAGCTGTCCCTGTCAGCTGATGCTTTCTAGACATCGTGATTTCCCAAAACTGAATAAATACCACACATAGCAACAAAAAACTGCTTTGCTAGTTCAATCATGTTGTAACTAAGATATCTGGTGGAAAAAATATTTTTTTCACGGACCATTTATTGAGTTATTACAGACACCACTAACAGCTAACGGTTAGCCCAGCTAATCTATGATAACCATGTTATTAATTACAAAACATCCCGCCTTGAGTATATCCAATCAGCACCAAGTAATCCCCAAGCCCCAGCCAGGAGTTTCTCGGGCCGTTCTGAGTACCTACCCTGAGGCAGGGACTTGTTTAGCCCCTGTAAAAGTTCCAGAACTCTGTCCTTCGGGGGTGGTTCCTGCGGTGGAGACACGCACCAACGGCCCCGGCCCCATATAATTACCCCGAAGTTCCTGCGGTGGAAACAGGCCTCCTGTCTATGTTTTCATTTTTTGTCCGACCACTGAAATAAGGGTCTGTTGACATTGTGTGACATTGTGTTGCTTTGGTGGCGTACCTGTGATTTTGTTGAGTTAACAGCTTGGTCAGACAGTAGGTTACGATATCAGCTGATGTCATATAAGCATACCTGGAGGTTTGTGATGAAGTATCCAAGCTTCTTTCCCTCGCCTTTATCCTCCTCTGATGACCTTTTGTAATATATCTCAAACGTTATTTGTGGAAATATGTTCCTCTTTGTGGTGCAAAGTTTTAACAGCAAGCTTTTAACGGTTTAGAGCACCTGAAAAGCAGAGTGATACCTGCATAGATAACAGTCCCAGTGATGCTGTACTGTATATCAGCACTCATGGAATACTTCCTGTCCAATTGAAGGACTTGGTCGGGACTGACTGTTGTATAATGGTAAATAAAACATAATTGTCTGAGTTGGCAAGGTCTTCACTGGCGCTCAACAGCAGCAAAAGATTAAAGAAGATTGATGCTAGTATCAATAAACAAGACTCAGTATTGATACTTTAGGCATCGATCTGCTCAGTCCTGCCCTGACCAAACAGGAGTCATTAGTGAAGGGACAATGGCTAACGCAGCCAGTTGTGTTTGTTGGGAATTGAACTGAGGGTCTTTGATCTTTACTTTTGCACCAGTCATGTGCCCCACTATAACATTTTAGTGTGTTTATGTGACATCCATGTAATTATAAAGGACTTTGGCAACAGCAAACAACTGAAGACGAATCCTCCAAAATCATTTAAAGACTGATTTTGAAACCCTTCCTTTCATATACAACAACATGAGCAGTGTCTGTTTACTAGAGCCTTTGTGTTGTGTTCATTATAACTACAGCTGCACCGAGTTACCTGCTGACTGTCTTACCAAGTAATGCATTAGAACATGAAGGGTCATCCGTCATTTTGTTCAAGACTCACTGCTTAATTTTGTTAAAGTGTCCCAGATCCTCAGGTTTCTGTCCACTCTCACTGTGAGGTAAATTCAGTTTGGAAAATATCTGACATCATCTGAGGTGAGAATCCAACTGAAGCAAAACATTTTAGAAATAAAACTCCATGTGGAAATAACATGCTGGCAGAAAGCAGGTCAGAGAAATTCAACTTCAAACACGCAGGTTACACTTATTATTCATGTCATAGATAGATCTGCCACTAATAGGATGCTTGTGAAATTATACATTATGAAGTCCAGTGATTTGAATGGTTGTGTCATTTTAATTACAGATGATGAGAAAATAAATGTGACACCAATTACCCACTTCAGGCTTCATTTTTAATCAAATTTCAAGTGTTTAATAAGTCAGGAAATGGGGTCCTCTTTTCTCTTTGCAATCCAAAACACAGAGCTGAGTGAGAATCCTTCACAGATGATGAGCTGTTTTAAGACAAAGAGATATGACCACTCCATTGTCTCTCTGTCATAGTCCAATTTTAGTTCTTTATGTGGCCAGACAGACTTACTCTCTCAGCATCCCCAGCGTAAAAGACAAATGTACTACCTTTCACTTGTGGCTTTGTGGGTTTTCCCTCCATACCATGACCTTTATTGAATGCCACTCCGTCTCTTTGTTCCACGGAAAAATGCAGGTCAATGACATCTGCCGTCCACTAATGTCTGTTCGATGTTTTCTAACAACACAGTGAGGTATAATAAGACTATAAATGCACTCTTATTTTAACCTTTTGTATTTCTTTGCTGTCACACCAGTTCTTTCAGGCCCGACTTCGTCTTGGTGCGCCAGCACGCCTTCAGCATGGCCCAGAATGAGGACTTTAGGAACTTGATCATCGGCCTGCAGTATGCTGGCATCCCCTCAGTCAACTCTCTGGACTCCATCTATAACCTCTGCGACAAACCCTGGGCTGTAAGCAATTTCAGCAAAACCAATTTACACCTACAGCAACCTGCAAAGTATTTTTTCCACCATAGTGTACATTACATCAATGTGGAGAGATGTGTTTAACAGAGCCTGCAGCTGTTAGTTCATTTCTAATCAAGATAGTTTGGCGGATTTATTTTTTGTGACTTTTTGTAGAACCATGCACAGTTTAAAAACACTTTGGTATTTATTATTACCATATGAATAATATGACTGTCATGTATCATATTACTGTTAGAAGACTTGTTACACACATTATTAACTCTCTGTTATTGTTCTCTCTCCTTCCATTGTCATCGTCTCCACCAGTTCTCCCAGCTGATCAATAATCAGAAGCGGCTGGGTTCAGATAAGATTCCTCTCATTGATCAGACTTTCTACCCCAACTACAAAGACATGGTAAGATTTTCTCATTGCATATTGTCAATAACCCCCCAGCAATTACACAACTTCTACCCCTCAACAAATGACAAAATGTTTCCATTAATGATTTAGATATTTATATTACTGTGCTCAACTATTTGTGTCATGGTGGTGAAACATTCTCTAAAAGCAGGAGACAGTGTTGTCTGCCAGTTACTGTAAGTTTTAGAATATAACTCGTCAAATAAAACATAATATTTTATTTTGAATTATTTCCAAAATGACATTTAACATATTTTAGCTTAATTACTTTCACGTTTGGTATATACAAGTGATTGCCACAAAGCTGAGAATACGCTTTTATGAGTAAAAGCACGAGTCATGTTACCTTACTGAGAATTTTTTTAAACATAATATAAATCTACTGCTGAAACTCCAATTCCTTAAATTGAATTTATTACAGTTACTATGTCATACTTTCATGTTTTCTTGTCTCACACTCCATGAGATGAATTTTTTTTACACAAATGTGTGGAGGTCACTAAAAGGTTGAGTAGGATAAATATAAAATGAGTACAAAATAATATAAAATATTTGGGCTGGAGGGGAAAAATCAATAGTATCCCATATTATGCATGGCAATATTGTATTGATACACATACGCCAAGTATCAACTTTCTAATTCTATAAATTATTAATAATCTGAATTTAAAACAAACTTTTGGTAGCCTACTAGAATAGTAAAATTACTTGTTTTTTCTTTTGGGAACATAATCTGCAGTTGAATAAATTCGCAATAAATGTTATTACAATACTCAGCATATTGCAAAACATTTAAAAGTGTTTTGATAATATTATATCATGAGGCCTCTGGTGATTCCCACCCCTATGAAATGCAGTATCTTACTGTATATTACACTCATGAGAGAGGTGAACTTGTTTATTTTCTTTATGCAGTTTACTTACTATGTTCACTTAAGTGTTTATGAGGTATATTATAGAGGTGAAGTACTTATATTCTCTGCTCTGTAAATCTTTTTAGTTACTCCTCTGGCTTTTTAGAGATATTCTGTACCAGCTCTCACTGAGGTACCGAAAACTGTTGTTTTCTAACATTTTGGTTGCTGAAGAGAAGAAAAAAAGAGTCAGTGTGACACTATTCCATTGAGATATTTTATATACAATCTTTTTTGGTACATGGAAATAGAAAACTCTATATAGACAGAAACAGAGACATAAATACAAACCCAAACAATTCTTTCAGTATAAAACAAACATGAAATTGTTTGATAATGCTTCACTAAAGCCATACAGTTATTATGCGTTGTTAACCGTAACAGTCATGTAAGTCTAAATTAATTATTAATATATTTCAGAATCGTAAGTTTCAAATATGTCAGCCAAATAAGGAAGTATTTCTTTTCATATAACTGGGCTGTCTATGCAGCAGAAAGATGCAGATACTTTTGACATTGTTGCTATGTGACACGAGAAAACTGAGGAAGAGGGCTGTGGCGCTCGCTTTTGCTCAAGAGGTAGAAAATCTACAACTACCAGAATGCACTGTGCAGCAACGGATCAATAAATGCTCTGTTGGGTGGGTAAAGTAATGTGAGTTTCCTGTCCAAAAGCAATATGGCGGCCAACTGTTAAACAATCTTTTAATACAGTTAAACAGTGAGTTAAAATATGTTTCTGAAAACATTTGAGAAATGTGCAACACTTTGACAGAATCTTGGTTCAAATTTAATGAGCTCTGTGTAGTTTTACCCTTTCGTCTCAGTTTCAGCCACGTTTACACAATACAGGAAACAAAATGGCGCCCACTTCCTGTTTACAAATTCTAATATTCAGCCAAACTGTGCACTGAAATGTGTTTCTGAAGACATTTTAGGTGTAACAGAATCCTGGATTATACTCCATCAGCACTGCCTAGTTTAATCAGATCAAATCAGATCAATTGTTTGATCGGAGTTTGCTTTCCAGTCTCTTAATCTGCTTGTATCCTTTCACTGCTAATGCGGAAGTGCAATCTGTAGCTCCAGCAACAGCCACAGAGCCAGACAAAAAAAACAAACACATCATCTGGTGGATTTTAACTGAGAGATGAACAGGGAGATCTGGGCTCTGGCGAAATGGATGGAAGTTTATCACAGTTCATTTACACACACTACTCACATTGTTATGATTATCATTATGAAAGTTACTGTTAGAACAAAAAGCTGGTTTAAAATTTAAATTTAAATGTTTTACTGTTGAATGTGACCCTAATATTATCTGTGAATAGTTTCTCGTACATGAAGATAACAATAATGCATTTTAATCTGTATGACTTCAGTGAAGTGATCCAGTAACAAGACAGGGGTCAATTCAGATTTGGGTCTTTTAATAAACTTTAAGTCATTATATATTAAATAATGCCTATAAAACAACTATTAAATCACTAATAACAGCTCATTTATCAGTTATTTCTCTCTTTGCTGGCTGGTTAACATCTTGTGCCAAAGTTTTTACTACTTTTTTCTTTAACCTGGAACATTGAGGAGAATCCACTTCCTGTTTTTACAGAGTTACAAAAAAAACAACTGTGAATTGAACCGTGTCCTGTTACATCATTTCCTCTAAGGAGAGGTGGCTTGGCTTCTACAGGTGGCAGTGCTGTTGTTAAAGCGCTGGATTAGATTTTTGGCACAGAACCGAGAAAACTACACACACGAATCCACAAGATCACAACCGCTACGCTATAAGACAAGATCCGGGTTAGCCTTTAAAATGTTAATTCTTACTCAAGTACAATATTTACATTCTCAGCAATTTGAGAGTATAAACTGTGATGATTTAGATGTACAAGAATTATGGTCATGTATAATTAATGTGTCAATTTTTGTCAAAATGTAATTACTTGGGGAATGTCTGGTGTTGATTTGCTCTCTATATATATATATACAGTGCATTTTCATTTGCTTGGGACCAGAGTACAAAATTAGCATCATCCACCAGCCAAATGCTTGTAAAATATGCAAGTGGCTGCTAGATTTGCTTCCCTCGCCAGCCCAAAAAAACACTGATTATCTATTGAGTAGCTGATAAAATTTGAACATTCACTAGCCACTTGGCTGGCGGACAACAAAGCTAATTTTGCACCCTGCATGGGACAGTTATTCGATACTATTTAAAGGTAAAAATTCAACACCAGAATATGTGGGGGAAATGTGTCAGTGCTGCAGTCTACCTGCAAAAATTTTGTGCACATAGGATTTGTTTACAGTATGTACCAGATTGTGGCAGAAGCTGGCACTAGTTTCCTCCTATTGTTTGACAGCAAACGTCCAACTTCCTACTACTGTCAGTAAATGCATAACCTAAATTACTTTCGTGGGTTATGCGTGAACAAATACGAGGTCTTGAGTATTCGTCAGAGTTATGCATTTACCACCAGGGCATCAGAAATGAAGAAAAGATTCACTCCTGGGTGAATAATGTGCAGTGGAAGGTCTGCTGCTATTATTCTGTGGAAAACAGCAAGTGAAGTGGAAATGTGTGAGAGCGAGAAATGGAGGAATGCTGAAAGCCCCTGCAGTTTACAAAGATTTTCCTAGCATTGCTGTAGCAACCACCTGAGCTCTGCTAAAAGAAGCTCGGCGTTGAATTAAACCCCCTCAAGCGTAAAAAATCTGCCAATTTTTCAGTGAAATCAGTTGCTACTTTGTGCACCAAATTTGAGCTACATGAACAAAAGCAGGAGATGTTTCTTGGGACTTTGCAGGAGAGAAATGGAGTAAGATGAATATCAGAATTTACAGGTCAAGGGTCAGACATATCCAGGAAGTCTTTCTCCGGTGGGGGTCCACCTCGGTACCAGCTACAGGTTGTGTCAGAGCGGCGGATGCAGGCGTACTGCCGAGCCTGCTCCCCGTTTAGGCTGTTATCCAGCAGCCAGTCAGTCCACAAGCACTCGTTTTCTCCTGTAGACGCACACGGGACTGTGTAACAGGTGTTGATCTGTGGATACAAGAGTTTTTGAGTCATCAGTTTGCTCACTCACTGATCTTATAATATGCTGCTGAATTGCCTCCAATAGTGTTATAAATAAGAGTTTTGTTGGGGTGGAAGTTGGAATGTGTCTTCAGACACATGATGCTTGACTGGAAACAAACCAACCTGTTCTGGCTTTTCATTTCAGTACAAAAGACTTTCAAATGTGCTGCTCAGCCTCTTCTCATCCCCAGGTAGTCAAATACAGACACTTTGTCTCACATTGCGGCATTTTATAGTAACACACAGGGCACCTTTTAGTATCTGCATGTGACGCACAGCTGAAACACGTTGTAGTTAGATTAAGGCAACAAACTGCTTGGTTAGGTGTAGAAAAAATGTTTGTTACGTAACACTAACATGACATGACAGTGAGTGAAGTCATTGCACAACAACTGTTTGTACATTATGTAAATAGACCTGCACTTGTATAGAGCCTTTCTAGTCTTCCCCTTAAAGCACTTTTTACACTACGAGACACATTCAGCCATTCAGCCACACACACATTCACACACTGGTGGCTGAGGCTACCATACATAGTGCCACCTGCTACTCTGTTTTAACACACTCACACACCGATGGAACAGCCATCGAGAGCAATTTGGGTTCCGGTATCTTGCTCAAGGATACTCTGACATGCGGACTGCAGGAGCAAGGGATCGAAGCACTGATCTTCCGATTAGTGGCCGACCCGCTCTAACTTCTGAGCCACAGCCGCCCAACTAATGTTACGTTAAAACAATACTGACTTTTGATTTCACACAGGACACAAACTGCAGTCTCCTGGGTGAAAGTCTTGTTTTCTTTGACCCATCCACCTCCCCTCCTATGCAGACTTTCTCACTTTTTATACTACATCAGTCGCTTTCAGCGTCAAGTATTTCTGCAAATGGGTTTACACTGGAGTTAGTTGAAAACCTGGCGTGTCTCATAAAGATGGTAGTGGTTGCCTTTGGCGTCAATATCAAATGCTGAGGAGCATGACAAAGTGTCTGTATTTGACGACCTGGGGATAAGAACAGGCTGAAGAAAAACTATATATTTGAAAGTCTATTGCACTGAAATGGAAAAAAAAATATCAGAATATTTTCTAAAATGTGTCTTGCCTCTCAGGACCTACACTGTTTCAGATAAATACAAAAGTACAAAACACACCATTGAACCAAACAACAGAACCATACTACAAATGCTACATATCACATCTGACACAATGAGACATGGATGCAGTGTAAACAAATTTAATCGCTCTCATTTAAATTCAGTGTTTGACCCAGGTACGCTGAGGCCTACTGAGAACCCACACTCTGATTTAGTAGTCTGACAGACTAAAGGAACAAAAGAGTTCTTTAATCTGCTCAGTCTTGCCTGTGGGGCTCTAAATGTTCTGTGTGATGGCAATGCTGATATTCTTCAAATAAAATGTGAGAGGGGCCAGAGACAACATTCTTTTAGTATACGCACTTTGAAAACTTAACTCACTGACAGGATGGGAAAAGTGACCTATTGTCTTCCTGCCGCTTTGTTTCCTGAGGCATCTCTAAGGCAGATAGATGAGTGGGACACAGATAAATATGCATGACTAGAGAACGAACAGTCCTTACTCACTCTGCATTCACAGCCCATCTGGTATCTGTAGTTGAGATTCTTCTTCTGCGACAGTGATAAGTTGTCCCAGGACTCTACCAGGTCACATTGGCCGATAGAAATTCTCCCATCACTCCACATACTTCCTGTTTAGTGACATCACAACAACAACATTTAAAAGGCTCATCTTGCATGAAGCAAAAACATTTTATAATGCTGTATTTAACAGCCTCAGGGGATTATCATTTCATAACAAACATTAGTTCACAGCTGTTCACGGCTAATAGAACTCGGCTTGAGTGATATAACTGTGACTGCCAAAAATATGGCCAATAATTTACTTTGTTTACAAAACATCTGCTTGTTAGAAGACAGAAATACATATCTGCTTTCTTCCTGGTACCCCTTTTCCACCAAAATTACCATGTATATGCTGGTTCTTTAGATGTGGTGAAACACACTAAAATACGGGATAGACTTCTGTCCCCCTGCCAACAGATGAGTGTGCCTTTTTTTCTGGTGTGTCATAGTAAGTAAATGGTAGAAAGCAGCATGGAGGTCAGTGCAAATGCCACTGTAGTTACTTCTTTTTTACATCTGTTACTTATTCAGTCTCTTTCAAATGCAGCGCCAACGATGTTCAAGAGTCACAGAAGTTACTGGCCGTCGCACCTGAAAAGTGCCGAAAATTAGCGCATCCATCCGGGTGTCATGTTTCCATCACTGCTGATCAGAGCTGGAGCAAATAAATACCAGTGACTAATGTCATTTTTCCCGACAGTGAATGCTGATTGAAACCCTCCCAATAAAGACAATAGCCAGATGTGACTAGACTTTTTAGTCCAGTGGGAAAGGAGCTTAAGAGTTACAAGAAAAGATGGATACCACTTTCAAGTCCATGTACCACTACTACTTTCCCACCTCCAGTAGCCAAGTATGCCTTTTTTTTCTGGTGTGTCACGTTTGACGTCATGACTGCACCAGAAAACAGGTTAGTAAACAGTAGAGAGCAGCATGGAGGTCAGTTAAAATATCACAGTAGTTTTAAATCTGTTACTGAACTGTTGCACCTGAAAATTGGCGAAAAGTAGCGCATCCATCCGGGTTTCATGTTTCCATCACTGCTCATCAGAGACAGAGCCGATAAATACCTGTGACTACTGTCATTTGTCCTGACAGTGAATGCCGATTGTAACCGTTCCCACTAAAGACCAAGCTAGATGTTAGCTGGCTTTTTTTTCCAGTGGGAAAAGGGCTGAAGAGTTACATGAGAAGATGGATACCACTCTTAAGTCTGGCCTGGTTCTTGATTTTTGTTCAGATTAAACAACAGAGATATAACATTTAAATTAAAGAGCTCTAGCGACCCTGTTTTGTCAATTTTGTTACATTTGGACAGAGCCAGGTTAGCTGTTTCTCTCTGTTTCCATTCTGTATGCAAAGCTAAGCTAACCAGCTGCTGCCTGTAGCCTCATATTTAATGTACAGACGGCACGTGGTATTTGATGATACTGATGTTCTCATCTAACACTTAGCAAGAAAGCAAATGAGTGTATATTTCCCAAAATATCTTCTAAGTATTACATTTGGGACAAAACAATCATCCTACCGCTATCCCTGCATATTTCTACTGAAACTGATGTACCACTTTATTACTTTACATAGCCCATCCTTTGTCAGACTGTCTGTACAATATTAAAGCAAACCACTGCGTACTGTACCTGAGAGCAGATAGCCTGCTTTGTTGTTGGAGTCCAGTTTGACTCCACACAGTGAGGAAAAGACTGGGGTGTACACATACTGGATGTCCTTGGCCTTATCAAATCCTTTGAACATCTGAACACAGAGACACACAGGGAGAAGAGAGTGGAGAGGAAAAATGAGGGAATAAGCCTGGCCTAATATAAAATAAACACACCATAGACAAAAACTTCTATATTTCTCAAAAGTATAGCATATATTTAAAGGTTCAGTATGCACTCAGGCGAGTTAACGAGTCTCATTCGCAGGTCATCAAATACCGATGACCTTGGGTTGGTAGTTGGGCCGAACCGCTAACACAAAGCGTTGGAAAACAGCAAAACTGTCTTTCTCCAGAATTGCCTACTGAACATTTAATGCCTCAAACAGATTTGAAGTCAACTCCAAATTGTAGAAATAAAACTGGCTGCAAATCAAACAAATAGAAATTTTGATTATTTCGCAGACAGTTCTGCTGAGTATTCATTATTAACACCATATGGTGAAATGGAGACGGACATTTGGACCATTTAAACTAGACTGTTTCTTGTGTGCTTGAGTGTTCCCAACTGCAGACTAATCAGAGTGTGTTTACTTTTCCCCGCAGACAATATGTAGCCAATACCCACATAAATAATAAATCTATCCACACAGCGGCATAAGCAGTAAAAATGATGTTATGTCTGCACCGCCAGCAGCAGCTGGTGCTGCTGTCCAGAGATCTCACCTTGATCATTTTGATTTCATATTGGATCATCTTCATGTAAGGTGAGGAGCTGTTGCTAGGCGACACAATCTTCTCTCCGGAGATCTTTGCCCTTATCACTGTCGGGAAAAGAAGGGGAAAAAAACAGAAATAAAGGAGGATTAAGATTAATTGAAATGCCAAATAAATGCGAGAGGAGAGATAAGAAGGTGATTTACATGCCTGAGACAATGGCAACACTCTGAATTATGTTTATGATCAAGTTAGAAGGTTTTCCCTTTTCTCTAGTTCATAGATAGATAGATAGATAGACGTCTTTCTTCCTGTCCCCCCTCCTTTTCTCTCACTTTGCCTGTCACTCGTCTTCCTTCCTGCACAGACAGTGTAGCTGTCCCTCTCAGTAGTGATACAGGATGTGTCCCTCCTCTCCTCTGGGAGGGAAATCACAACCCACATGGAATAACAAGTAGCTCTCTGCTTGCACACTCCCATTAACTGACTCCACACACACACACACACACACACACACACACACACACACACACAGTCACGCACATTTATGCATACAGTAGATTACATACCACCCACACACAAACTCAAGCCAAACCACGTCTGGCATAGAAGTGTCCTCACATTACTTTATGGTGAATCAGGCAGAGGGGTACAGTATCAGGATAATTGGTCTGTGGTTCTCAACAGGAAGGTAACCCTGAAGTCGTATAATTTTACAACCTGTCATTTAGAGACAAAACACTCGTTGCCTTTTAAATATTATTAATGTTGTACGTTTTACTCACACAGACCACAACATGCCGTTCACACTGTGCCAAATCAAACAGCGTTATTCCAGACATCATTGCTACAGAACCACTTTTTTTTCTCCTGCCATCGAACCCATACAAATCTGCAGTTTTATTAGACATCTGCATGACTCATTATGTTAACTGCCAAATTAATCCCTCTGTCAAACATTTCCTTTGAACTAATAACACTGCCGTAGCTCAATCAATCAAACATAATTAAATTTATTATTATAGCTTTCTCTCAGTTTGTCAAAAAGTCCTACAAAGTGACTTTGAACATAGCAGACAACTGCATTAACTATTATCTTACATTAACAGAGAAGCAGTGGCACCACAGTACAATGCAGACTGTAAACACTGCGTACTTATCAAACAGCATCATATACTCAAAACTGTGGTAAGACTGTAGTAAAACCAAAAATACGACAGCAACAGCAAAAGTGTAAGGCGTTGATTAAATGGTGTGTTTGTCTGCTTTAACGCAAGCACATACTTAGCTTGTGTCAACCACGGACCTTATTCCAGGCAAAAACCCATTTAAAAAACACATTGACTTCAAGATGAAGGGACTGAGAATGCTAAAATGCTAACTCATTTCTGGGTGTTAGGACTGATTCCTGCACCACTCTATTGTGGATGTGCTTTTTTAAACGTAACCTCTAAAAGACTTTCACGTTTTGTACTACGACATGAAATATGTCTGTAAACACCCCACTTGTGAGTTTTGATGCCTTTATGTGTCTTAAAAAAGTTGGTTGCAAACGAGTGGCAAAATTAGACTACAGAACATCATCACACCAAACATGGATTTACAGCCTCGTTGTGATGGTGACGTTGCCTCAGATCTTAGTTCTGCAATAATCCAAAATCCAATGGAAAAATATCATAAGCTTTTTGCTGAAGAAACCAGAGTGATGCTAACTTCCATGTTGGCCTACAAATAAACATCCCTGCACCTCTCTATCGGAGTTGGTCCTGCAAGCTACTATTTAGGATAACCTCAGCAGCTCTGTTCTGCTTATGGGGTTTGCACCAGACTTCAATATGACGTTAAATTAAATTTTGGTTGGAATGAAAATCAATTTGACGATATTTTAAATGACCAACAATGTTATAATTTCACGTTGTGTGGTGAAGTTTTACAGTCATTGGATTTTGTTCTCCATACCTTATGACTAAATGTTGTTCTACGTCAAAATGACTTCGGCATTAGATGTTTGAAAAACATTGGATTTTGGTTACTTAACAACATACCTTAAAACCAACCAAATAACAACGTCATCTGTCGTTGGTAGTCTACGTCAAACTGACGGTGGCAATATACTTTGCCCTTACATTGAGTTTTGGTCACCCGATGTCACAACTGAAATTCATCCAAATATGAGCGTCTACGCCAGCTGGGTACCCTCGAGCAAATCCAGGCTAACTTGTTATCTGAGATAGCATTACGTTCAGCAAACAGATTGGTTAAGATTAGTCCTCAACGAAAATGCTATTTCTTGTATATGGTCCAAATTTGAACATTCTGTTTAAATATGGACATAAAAGCATAAATCTAATCTCTGTCTTGCTCATTAAAGTACGTAAGCTGAGCAGCTGAACAGTACAGCCCTACGCTGAAATACAAAAACACATCATGTATGCAGCCTTCAACTGCATACTAAAGACAACTTTACAAGTACACTGGAAACATTACACAGTCAGCCAGACTGTGCTCGTGCAGATAATGTTTACTTAATTAGCTAGCTAGAAATGATAAGCTTACTTTTGTCCACCACTGTAAGACATCAAGGACCCATTGCTTCAAAAACGTAGTAAAAATTGTAAACTGCATTATGTGCTGTGCGAGAAAGGAAAGCTTGAGTTGAAAGCTTGAAACATCTCACTCTTAACTTGTGAAATACAACAGCTTGGTCTTTGGCCTTACGCTTAAAACGAGGGACGCCTCTAACGACAGTTTTCACAAGAAATGTAGGTTTTGCCACTAAAATTACTTTAGGTTTAAACAATAAAATTACATGGTTAGGTTTAGAAAAACAATCATGGTATGTCGCATGACGACAATGTATACACTTGACATACTCCAGTAACTCAAGTTGACTTTGGGTGTCACACAGGACATGTACTGTATAGTGGTCCAGTGTTTGACCCATCAACTGTCTCTCACTCCCACCCTGCTTGGACTTTCTTACTTTCTACTACGGTATTGCCACAGATATGATTAAATTTCAGTCAGTTGGAAGTCTGATGAGTCTCTTACAGGCTGCTGTGTTTGACGCCCTGGGAATGAGAACAGGTTGAAAATCAACAACATAAATGTTATGTACTTAAATGTCTTATTGCTTGACCTGGTGAGCGATAACAGTAAGCTGTCTGTACAGCTCATTAACTCTGCTGTACAACTGTCATTCCTTGTCTTCCACATTGATATCTCTAAAAGAAAGAAAACAGTCTCCTGTAGCGGCACCAGAGTGAGAAGGAAAAAGAGAAGGGAAGAAACAGATGGGCAGAAGCAGAGCGATTGACCTTGGTATAACCATGAAGGAAAGGAAAAGCTACAGTATAAAAGACGGAGAGAATGTGTGACCCAGCACCCCTCCTAACCCTCACCCTCTCACACAGCTACGCAAACCACCCCCTTGTTTTTGCTTTTCGCCTCATCACATAACTACACCACAGAGCTCAGTGTGTTCTGTGAAATTGGTTCAAGAGAAGAAGAGACTTTCTTCTCAGTTGAACACACAAGTAGATAAAAAGGCAGGCGGGCAAACAAACATACAGACAGAAAGTTAATGAGAACTTGTGTGAGGTGTCATACTTTAATCAGAGTGCATCGCATCGCCCACAACAAGACAGCTGGTCCAAGGACGTTTACTTTATAGAAAATGTCAGGGAGCACAAGATGCTATCTTAGTATAACATCCTTATTTTTCAAACTTACATTGCATGGCCTAATTTAAAGCATGAAGCTCAAATAAAGCATGGCAGTATATCTGAAAACATTAGACCTGCACCCGTCAGTAGATTAATACTGTATTGTTGTAGATGAGACAATACAAGTGAAGTAGAAATCATCTTGAGGTTACTAAAAATTTAACAAAGGAGGGTTGGAAGCAGTACACACTAGATGGAAACGTCTACTGACCTATGGCATATCAGAAACAAGCAGATATAAAATGCAGCAAGCACGTGGATGCGGTATGATATTTTACAACACATTTTACAGTGTCTGACCTCACAAGGACACACCTGCCTGTAAAGTCACCTACACACATGTAGAAAAAAGCTAATTTCTGTATTTTATTCCTGCAACACTCTGTTGTGACCAAGAAATGTACAGAGCAAAACATTTTAAAGCTGAAAGATAAACCTGTCACCTTGTAATAAACTTTATCTCTGGAGTACAAACTTTGTAATAGAGACGTTGTTATAAAAATTACCTTGAGATATCCAAGGCATTTGTTCTGCAATTTGTTGTTACTTTTTGACCCACATATACACCAGTACCATTTATCTTTGGCCAGAGTTTCCAAACTAGTTCTGTTTGAGCCCTAATACTTACCTATACCCTCCTAAGACCCTGTTGCCTCATATGAGGACATCACATTTTGGGTTTACTTGACCTTTTACTTCATTCTACTTAACTTAGACCTGTTGTCCTCGTTCATGAGCACTTTTTCTCCCATCTAGTGGTGGTAACATTACAGTGATCCATGTAAAATTAAGATGGCTGCCATCTCTGCCAACTCAGTCTGCAGCTCATCCTGACACTTAGGTGGACAAGGTATATAATGTTTGATTTATAATGTTAGTAGTTTGATATGACAACCAATGTGACTAATTTCAGTAACAGTAACAAGCTCATCTTGTTTGAGGACATTAGGACCGTATTACCGTTGACAGTGTTTCGTTTTTTATACTTATCAGGTCCTACTGATCCCAAATAGTGCAGAGAAATTAAAAATGCATACCAAACAAAAGTACAGGTATCAGGAGGATATATAAACCCAGCCAATGTCACAGTCTAGCTTCACTAAAGGAATATTGTTACTTTTACTTAAGTAAAAGAATATCTGAATACTCACACCACTGGTTAAGGGTATTGTATTGTTTTTATAGGCCAATGTCACATCTTCTATTGAGCAGTGAAGCATCAGCACACCCACATCCTCAACTACTATTACACCGCTGAATAAGGCTGTCATGGTCACCACACAGACGTAAACTGTACCAACGATGACCATCATAATATTGCGCTCTTTGTTCAGCGCAGCTCTTTGATCTGCACTTCCTTTGGCAACAAGAAACATATCTGAAAGCAGATGAAGTGCTCTGGCAAATTAGCCATCCCATTTAAATCTTCCCTTTTACCAGTATAATGGGTCTATGTGGCCTGTTAATGGTAAGCAATCAAATAGGGATCAAATACTTGGCAGTCTGAGTACTGGCCATGTATCAGTGCAGCATGGAAGAGGACAGAAGTTGCTGTAGCCAATTAGCCAAGAATAGTACAATCATTTTTTATTACACTGAGATCAGTGGTTTTTAGTTGGATCACCTTCCATACGTAATAGTGTTTGGGCACTGATTGTATATTTTAGTGATATTTATTGTAGAAAATAGATGAAATAACTGAACAGCAAAACTCCTTTTATTCCAAGTTTGTTATCTCTTCCTAAAATGATTCTCGTGGCCCAGATTCTCTGAAATATTTACCCCCCACCTGGACGTCTTTGAACTGCGCAGTCTAGGTTACCCACTCAATTCAGTTGCTGCAGCTGTGTTATGAACAGGAATAAGGACAGGCACGTCTGCAGTGTTAAAGTGGCTGTGCATCTGCCTCACAGCTACATAACCAAAGAGAAATATTGCAAACTTGTACCATGAGAACTGATGTAGTAAGTAACTTCCCCCCTCCCTGATGAATCGGCACCCTTGTCATGCTCACAAAGCTGGACTGTCAGTGGGCTTTCACACTGATATTGTTAGTATGCAGACCATTAGACCAAGCCTATAGACATGGAAATGAAGTGGGGAGAGAGAGGGAAAGAAAAAGAGAGAGATGGAGTAGGCTGTGTTGGCATGGCTTGGCCTCCGTCCAACACACACACACTCACACTCATACACACAATCCCAAATACACAAACACAGGCCAGGGAATCGTCCAAGGTTTGTCCAGATGGGATATTGCTCAGATGTACAGCTTTATTCAAAGGGCTCATCGACTCTGACAACGCTGTCAGGTCAACTAAAGGCCACCACTGGCCTATGCCTAGAAAACAACCGGGACAGTGTAAAACAGATGCCACTGAATGAAAAGTTTTCTTAGACACACTTAGTGTAAGTGAGGGATTTTCTTTATTTGTTATTCATGGGTCTAAAAAGTTGCAGCATTCCTAAAAGGGACCAAAGAGTCTTGAATCCATTCAGCAGTGGACTCATACATTTAATACTAAACGCAGACTTGAGCACTGAGCGTACCCTGAGGAAATGGGATCCAATTATATAAGAACCTGTGGTTAACTGATCATTTGTAAAGTCCCACCCCCTAGTTACTGTTGCTATGCCTGTCAAGCTTTCTGCTCCTGCACAGTGTGCGAATTCTAGCATTGTGAAGGCATGGCCCACCCCACTCTGCATCTGGATTGGGAGCCCAGTCTAGCTCCAAAGTTGTCAAAATCCGGCGTTTCGGCAGTGACTTGCGGCATCAGAAACCAACGAAAGAAGGCTTCCTTAAACGTTGGACATGATACGTGGCCGGTTGCATTTATAGTTTAATGGTGCCCTGTGGCGTCAGGGGGAACGCGTAGGAACAAGGACGAAAGTTATGTGGCAAAAGTCCGAGTGGGGTAGGCGGGAGTGGTGGTGGATGGGTCCAACACTGACTTTCACCCCAGAGAGTGGTGTTCGTGTCCCGTAAGATACTAAAGCCAAACCCTGTTATTTTTTCCTAAACCCAACGGTGTGTTTTTGTTGTTGAAGGGGGAAAAAAGTCAATTTGCAGTGCTGTACCGATGTAGTGCATTTATTTTGAAAGAGACACTATGTAAACGTTAAATTTCCTGTTAAAACAGAGGTGTATTTTGAAAGAAAAGAACTTGACGTGGTGTCCCAGAACATTAACAACCAAAGCACTCAGGGTACCTTGCACATTGTATGTGGATGTGAAAAGTCCATGACCAAAACGTCAATATGTGAAGAGGTCAGAGTGAGAATGTGTTGGGATTGACCCTAACCAATTCAACCAACAAAGGCAACAAGTACTAGCCAATCAGAGGGAGAATAGGGTGGGTTATGCCTTCACTATCCTGGGATTTAAATATTTCAAACAGTGCATATGAAGTTTAAAATGTTAATGGCGGCAGACTTAACACTAGAATTTTTTTTAAACAGCAGATACACAACCTTGATTAGACGTAGACAGAAACAGCCTCTAAATTCTAGCCGGTAACCACTGAATTTACCAGCTGAAAACTATCACTTGCATATTTGACTGTAGCTAGCTAGCTAACTAATTATGATTAGCTCCATCACACCTGCATGATATGCTAAAAAGACTGAGCAGCATTTTTTTTTTTACTGCAAAGTAGAAGTGGTTAGCCCTGGTATTACATGCAGTGCTGTATGTTAGGGGGAAAATTAAACTTTAAATTGTTTAAAGCTAAATCTTACAAATTAGCACCCCTGCCAGTGAGGTTAGGTTTAGGAAAAGAATCATGGTTGGGCATTATCATGTAATGTAACCAATAACCAAATGAAGTGATGACTTCATTTGCCAAGCCATCTCTGGGGACACAGACCCCAGTCTCCTGGGTCAAAGTCCTGTGTTTGTTTGACCCCTCCGTCACTCAAACATTCCTCTGTACACAGACTTTGTTGCTCTTTATAATATGTGACCTGATTTACTCCTCCACTCCCGTCATGTTACAGAGGACAGCCTGCAGTGCATAAGTCATGTGATCGCAGCTTCTTGACTCAAGATTACAGGGGTTATAAATTAATTATAGTGCATTCATTTTTGTGCGTATAAAACGAAATGCAAATGAAAACAGCCTGACTTGGACAAGACAAAAGTTATGATGGTTATGAGATTTTGAGGCCTATTTAATGCATCTCTATGTTGGGAAACAAATGTGCTGAGGTTCCTGAAGTGTGTGTGTCCTCAGATCAGGACAGAGCTGCTAACATTATACTAATCTCTCATAGCAGCATCCAAAAACAACTCCCTGACTAAATACTACACAGCAGATGACTTAGTCCTAAATGAGGCTTTTTCTAATGTAACCTGTAATCCCACAAAATTATGTAGTTAGTTGATGATATGTTGCTTGGCTTTGGAGGTAATGTTAGTAAATTAGTTAGCCAAATGTGCTAATGTTTGAGGCTCACTTCAGAGCAGAAACACACAGTTTAATCTTTTCTTTAAACTTTTGCTCCTGTGTTTTTGGTTAGGAAAGAATAAAATAAAAAATTACAACTCTCCAATCTCACATTCCCATACACACGTGGAGAAGTAGTTACAGTTGCTAAACTATGATTGGACAAATAAGGGAGGGGTTTAGAAAACAGTCAAGTGGAATCCATTTTGATTGGGTCCAGTGGTTCACAAACTGAGAAAAAGTGGTTCAACATGTCACGTCTGCATTGCTTCATAACACTTTTGTTTCAATAGTTCAGTATTTTTTTGGGTTCTAATGTTACCCGAGAGAACGAAGGACCAAAACATGGTTATAAACCTGGACCCAGTGCTAAACCAGCGTAGACTTGAAAGTCAAGATTGAGACCTGGTTCAGGTCTGTTTCAGTCTAACTCATCGGGCAAAGTCAGGCCTGTATGAAAACCTCAGATTGTTCATTTCAAGAACAGAGAATGATCGTACAGTCATCTCGGTCTTTGATGACACACTTCATATGTAAAACTCTGTCCTAAAACCACTGCCCCACATACTTTCATTGTGTTCTCATAACCCAGATCTAATTTGGCGTTATGGCGGTTTTGAAAACAGGTCTCAGCCTCCATCTTATCCTGACTATTTTTTTTTCTTTTGAGACACATTTTCAGACCCTCTCTTAACCTGAAGGAAGAAACAGACCAATTAGAAGACTAAAATCCTTTTAAAAGCAGTTTACTCGTCTACTTTCTCTTTCTCTGTGTCCTTCTCCTCTGCTGGAGTGTAACCTTTGACAGAAGCACATACTCCAGCTTTCCACAGTCTGGAGCCAAGTACTCAAAGTCAGAGCAGAGTGTTGGTTTTGGCCTGTGCTTAAACAAGAAAGAACTGGATGATGGGAGGAGGAGGGGGGGTGTCAGACAGAGAGACAGGCAGACAACATGACAGACAGACAGACAGATAGATAGAAAGTAGGCCGGGGCCACTTGGTGTTGGCTGTTTTTTTAGGGTTTGTTTTTAAGTGATTAAGAGCAAGAAGACTCAATTATGTAACGAGGAAAAAACAGATACCAGGCTGCCCTGTTTTCAGATAATAACACAAGAGCTGGTAAGTAACACAAAGGCCAGTCGGGAAACAACTACATGTGTGCATGTAATTCTCATGAATGTCGTTCACTTGTAGTTACCAATAATTGATGCTCTAACAGTCCACCACACTTATATTTTATATTGCCTTACTATATATATTGCTATAAATCAACATTTCTTTCACTTAACCCACAAGAAAAGCTTAATCCCGAGGCTCTATCGATTAGTTGTCACAGTAGGTTTTAACTGTGGATTGGATTTTTTTTTTTCCTCTTGGAAAATCCAATTAAGTTGATCAATAAGCCAAATCATCAATCAGTCAGTTCATAGGGGAGGGCCATTCCTCCATTTTTAAACTCATACACTCCCTTTGTGTTATTGCTCCATCTTAAGAACTTACAATCAGATTTCAGCTTTTTCAAACAGAACCGAAATAGGTCTCCAGTTATTAACTCACCGATCTCAGCGCTGCAGAAAAGCTGCTGCGGGTGTGCCGGGTTGCAGCTGCATCCCTCCACAACTTCCTCCATGCCTGCACCAAGCAAAAGGAGCACCCAGAGCCCCAGACACGCACTCCGCTTCTGGGACATGGCCATGATGACTCTGGCTGCCACTGACTGCTCCACCACTCGACGAACTCTGGGCAACCTCTCCTGATCCTGTTAAGTTCCGCGGGAAAGGCAAATCAGACAACAGCGTGGGAAGGATGAGACAGAAGAGTCGAAGTGGTGGGATGAGCTCTGCTGAGCTGAAAGGCAGCTGTGGATAGAAATGTTTTCATAAGTTTAAAGTACACGTCTGAATTCAAGCTGGAGCAAAATAACTTGAGTTGAAGGGAAGTGCTGCTGCCACTGCTCTCCCTCTTTCTCCGTCTCTCTCCCTCTCCCCTCTCTGTAGACAACACACTGAGAAACTTACAATAGTTGGATCCCCTCACACTCTGGTCTTGAATGCTGAGAGGGTCGCACACAGGGAGCCTCTTATGTACTCAACAATTTAGGGACAGCCTCCTCAAATGCAGGAGGAAAAAAAAAAAACTACCATCCTTTGCCTCTTCTTGTCCCCTCTTTTGATGTCCTCCCTCTTCTCCCATTGGCTGCCGTAGGTGTATTCATGCAGTTAGTCATGAAAATTATGACTGTTTAAAGTTGGACAGGGTGGTGAGGCAGAAATTAAATATGACCTTTAAAAACAATGCTCTTAAAATAACTTGTGCAGGTTTTTTGTTCATGATTAATGTTCTTTTCAGATTCAGCTTATGTGATCATTGGTGCAGCATCTGAGTCATAAATGCAAACGACGATCATAAAAAATAACCGTTAGTTAGTTGTAGAGTACAAGTATTGCTGTAGTGGTGTCAACACAGCACTGCATGACTAATTAAATAAATTACTGATGTGACTTCCTGTACCGATCTGAATGGTCAATAATTCAGATATCCTGTATCTGCATCCGTGTCCTTGTTTAAACTTTGTACTGTATTTGTTTCACTGTGTCAATATGACAATCAGCAAGGGACCATGTCAACATATGAAAGGTGTGACGTGTCCACAAACTGTACGTAAACATGGCAAGGTGTCTCCATTTAATTCCACTGTAAATTGAAGCTAAAATAACCCAGGACACAGTCGCTGCCATCTTTCACTGGCAATGACATTTAGAGCCAAAAGCCCCTTTTACACTGCCTCTTCAAGGCGGGAATATCGCACTGTTATTCTGCCTCACTTTATTATAAAAGTAACAATTGCGAATGGGGGGGCCAGAGTTCTCTCGCCTTGAAGCTAGCAGCGGAGGTAGTAACAGCACCAAATCAATGTTTGAATAAAAGGGACAGCTGGCAGGATAGGACCATGGATGGGTTTGACTTTTTGACAATATGTTATGTGTGCAACTAGGGATGGGAATTGATAGGATTTTATTGATATCAATGCCATTATCAATTCTGCTTATCGATCCGATTCTTTATCGATTCCCTTATCGATTCCTCCTGTGAATTAATGATATCACCTCCTGTTGTTTGTAACCCAAGACATCTGCTTTCATAACGTTTTATTATGAACCTCAAAGCCATGGTCTAGTTTAGAAAGACGATGAGAAAGATTTGAAAAAAAGCACCCCACACACACACACACCCACACACACCCACACACCCTCCCCTCTGAGCTCGTGTCCCTCTCTCCTCGGAGCCTCCTAATGACACACCTCCTCCTGCATAGACATGTTTCGACGTCGTCTAACCACACAAAAAACTAACGGCAGCTTTCACAGTCATAAGCCAGCATTGGCATACACTTATCTATGTCACAACAACAGCCACAATGAGTTGTCATTAATGTTACTCCTAGCTGGTGATCTAGAGATAAACCCCGGCCCACAGCCTGAGTGTGTCAACACCACACAGCTAGTGCAGCTAACTCAGGTGAGGCAGCTAAGGCAACTAGCCCAGCATATTATAACAACAAATGGTGTGCAAATCAACTCAACTGCCCTCATTTTACCATCCTTGGTGTTCCCATGAAATCCGACAACAGGAGCCGGGACGTGCCGAGGCTCCACAGTGGGCTAGCAGCTCCAGTGAGGCTAACAACAACAGCGTCCTGCCGCCATGTACCTGGAGCGGGGATGCGCGAGGCTCCACAGCGGGCTAGCAGCTTCAGGGAACAGCGTCCTGCCGCCGTCTACCTGGAGCGGGGATGCACCAAAGTTCCACAGCGAGCTAGCGGCTCCAGTGAGGCTAACAACAACAGCGTCCTGCCGCCGTGTACCTGGAGCGGTGATGCGTGAGGCTCCACAGTGGGCTAGCAGCTTCAGGGAGGCTGTTAACAGCGTGAAGTGAAGCCACAGCTTTGACCGCTTCTCTCTCTCCGCCATTACGTCTTCTTTGTTGTTGAACGTGCTGCTGACTGACGAGCATAGATTCGGCGTAATGAAAAGAATCGATAAGGGAATCGTTAAGCATAAAGGCTAATGATGTCGATGAATTGAACCAGTTGGAACCGGTTCTTAACAGGAACCGGTTCTCGATTCCCATCCCTATGTGCAACCCACCTCTGGGAGATTTAGAGAGCAGCAAATAACAGTTAGCAGCTAACTCAATGAAGAGGAACAGCCAAAAATGGCCACAAATTGGGAAAACAATGAGGTCTGGGAGCGCCTTACCCTCAGAGCAGAAGATGAGATCAGCTGCCACATAATAGGAATGGCGTTGTGTTATACTGTATGTCATGTTTGGCACACCTATCACATCTTTTTAGCCTCTGGGTAGCAGATATGCTATCTAAAATTACAACACCTGAGCGGCATGATGATGCTGTCATTTTGTTCTGTGTAAAAAAGAAAAGCTAGCATAATTAATGGTCTTGGTAGGAGCCCTGTAGCGTGATCGCTGTGTAAAAAGGGCTTAAGTCTGCGAAGTAGTGATCTCTGCTGTATTGATGTCCTGCCCATACACATGTCTGATTAATCATGAGCAGCGCTATTGATTGCAAGCACACGGAATAGCACATATAGGTGTCAATCATGAGGTCAAACCCCTTTTTTATAGCATCAAAAAACTAGTTTAAACCAAACTTATCAGAAATAATGAACACTTAAACAAGATTTATCTGAAATGACAGACACCATTTTTGAGAAAGATTTTTTTAGATTTGGCTCATGTCCCCTCCACTAAGAATTTCCCAGTTTGGGATCAATAAAGTATAAAAGTACTATCTATCTATCTTATGAGGAGGGGGAGGGGTTTATGATCTATACTGCAGCCAACCACCAGGGGGTGATCTAGATGATTTGGCTTCACTTCTGGGAAGCTGTCATGTTGTCCATCTTTATTACACAGTCTTTGGTTGCAATGAACCCAAAATTATTATTCAAGTCTTGAGGTTACCTTCATTCTACAGAGTGCTTTAGCAGCTTTCAGCTCATTGTTTTGGTTTTATGGCCCTCAACTTTACTGCTCTGGTACACTCTTTCTGCTCTCATAGCATAGCTTTGAGCAGCAGCAGGCAGCTGTTTTGAGCAAAAAACTAAACTCACTATGGAGCGAGTTTAGTTACTCAGAATGAGTTAGCAAATAGCTAGTGAGCATAATGGAGAATTTGTGGCTTAAGAGCCAAATATCTCCGTCAAATTCATGCTAATGCAACTCCGTGTCTGCTGGATTTGTGTGGAGCTGCTCTGGGGTCACATGTTAGAAAAAAAAAGGATGTAAAAATGTGTGCGAACGGATTTTTACAATTAGAAAATGTAAGAATCACTGGAGGCCTGCAACAGTGACACTTCCATATGATGTTTTAGTCAAAGCCAGACAGAGCCACTAGAGAGGGGCTAAAGAGCCGCATGCAGCTCCAGTGCTGCAGGTTTCCCCTGGTTTAATGAAATGTACCAAAATATGACACAATAACTTCTGTGCCATCACTTCCTGGCAGACCTACACTGCTCAAAAGCATTAAGGGAACAGGGATTAGTTGAGATTGTCTATTTTTGCAGTGCTATAACCATAAAGGCCCACTTACCGGAAGAGATCTATGCCTGGTGACAGTTGCCATGAACACTCTGTCATTTTTCACCTCAGGGTCTTTCCAATGTGTTGATATCTGTAGTCACTCTGTATTGTTCATCATCATTCACCCTTTAATTATTCTGTTGTTTTTCAGATTACAACACCGAGTTTCCCAGTAGTGGTGAAGATTGGGCACGCCCACTCTGGAATGGGAAAGGTAATGTTGATTCATTTGATTTGGCCAAGTTAAAATGCTAAAGTGATGGCTTATCTAAACACATGAAAGATTTCACCTCTTGCTAATTAGCAAATATTTAAGGCCCCTCAGTTAACATTTTTCAAATTCCCAAGTTTCATGTCGGTTGCAGACCTCCACTGACAAATGAGCAGGAGGCTCCAAGCACTGGTTGCATGGAAGAAGGCTATACATGGTTCATGTGCACACACTATGATGATACAGAGCTGGTTAAAAATAAGCAAAGTTTCCCTTTACACAGCCTACTGTAGTCTGAAGATGTTAACTTAGCTTCATACACAAAGTGTGAAAAAGTTTGTTTTATAGTGATGTGCTTGGTTCAAAAACTAAAGAAACAGTCCACAGGGTCCCAAAATGAAGGTCATGGTCTTGTTTTGCCCGTGACTCAAACAACCCCACGCCCATGCTCTGCAGGTGTAGCCAGTAGAAAAATACATTCCATGGCACATCTGCTTCGGGAACGGTCTGCATGTGTTACATCAGAGATGGTTCAGAAAGGAGACAGCTCACTTTGGGGTCATTTCCTGTATCTGAGCGTGAGCACAGGTTATGAAAAGATTCTTTCACCCCATTGGCACCAAAGTAAATATTGGGCCCTTTTTTTTAACAAGCCCTAGCCCTTCCGAACATTCTGACTTTAAAATGGCATTTTCCAGAGGAATTAACTTCGTTCAAGACCTGTCTCTGTCTCATCAACACACTCTCACAACAGCTGATTTGGTCTTGTATTGGGTTTATATCAGATATTACTGTAAAACTTACTAGCCTGGACTGTTACTTGCTTAGATGACTGAAATCAACAGGCCTGTCTTTGGGACAGGCAATTAATTCCTTTCACACGAAACTGTTGCTCAGCAAAGATCAGGAAATACAATCAAATTCTTTATTTAAACTAGTATGAATAATACTTGTTTAAAAACTATTTTCTTTGAAAATCTCTTGATTCTTTTGATCTGAGGACCCTTGCGGAAGGAATAAGAATGACTTAAAGGGTAACTGGGGAATGGACAATGGATTTGAAGTAGCCAATAACCCGAAGTTTCTATTTAAAAAACAATAACTGCTTGGCATCCAGACCTGGCGTCAAACTGTTTAGTCTTGTTTGATTGGAAGACACATTCATGTATTAGTAAAGCAGAGGAAGTAGCTGTACGGTGGACTGAAGCCCACCTGTTAGACTGTGTCTCATTTGACAACATGCCATTGTGAAGTGCTTTGAAATCTCCCTGTGCACCAAGAGTTAGTCAGTTTCCACTGAGCACCATCACGTCTGGAACCACATCATATGTGCTGCATAAAGCTTTCTCTGTCATACACCACCACTCCTGTCACCTGTCTTTCTTTATCCTGTCTTCCTTTCAAACTGCAACACATCCTTTTTTATTCTCTCTCCCTCCGTAGTTTCTCCTCTCATTGTGCTCGTATTGATTGACAACTGTGTTAATATTTTCTGCGTGAAATCAGAGTGAAGTGTTTATCCTCTCTCCAGCACTCCTCATCGATCCTTCGCACATCATTCCCCCGGACTGCCCAATCTGATATTGTATGATTGTCCACACGCTCTGTCTAACCTAACCTCTTATCGGCCTGTAACTCTCCTTTATCTCACCATCTCATCTCTAACACACCTGGACTGTGCTACACAATAGCTTCCACAGAAATACAACATTTTGTCTGTTTCAGATAGAGGCATTTATGATAAGTGCTATATTAGATAGTTTCCACTTTGCTTTTTGATTGAAGTGGATTGTCACCTCTAGGACATTGACTGGGGCTTGTGCAAAGAAACATAACATCATCATTTCATGTCCTCCATATTGACAGGCAGCTAATAGGAAGATCGACCAGTCTGCATGTCAAAGTATCCTTAAGCAAGATACTGAATCCCATATTGCTCTTGATGGCTGTTCCATTGGTGCGTGACCTTGTTAAAAAAAAACAGAATAGCAGGTGGCACCTTGTATGGAAGCCTCGGCCACCAGTGTATAATGTGTGAATACGACTCATAGTGTAAAAGCACTTTGAGTTATCAGAAGACTAGACGAGTGCTATACAAGAGCAAGTTCATTTTCTATTTCATAACAGGATGGGGTCATTTCAGACACGTAGCACCCGCCCTCCAGTCCAGCCCCAGATTAAAAATATTAGCTCTGTCAGCACTGTTTTTATTGTCAGAGCTGTTTATTGTGTTATGCCGTGCTCAAGTCAAAGTTGAAGGTCAGAATTGGTACTAGCTACTGCTAACTAGCTGCTGGCTCAGCCACCTCCATGCTGAGACAATCCAGCCCCTGAGTGGTATAAGTGGTATCAGTAAGAGTGGTATAAACTTTTTCGTCTAACTCTCAGTAAAAAATCAAACACTGAACCACAGTTGTAGTAAAGAAAGAAACTGTAAAGGTTTATGCAACCTGCAAATACAAAAAAGTGAGAACACTGTTGTGTTATGCTTGGACACTTATCATGCAACAATAGAACACTGCTGAGGATCATTTACATAAAATGAACAATATCTTTATAATTGAAAATGAATACACAGCCCAGCCCTACTTTAAATTAATTGTGTATATGTGTGTGTTATTCCTTTGTAGGTCAAAGTGGACAACGTGAGTGACTTCCAGGACATTGCCAGTGTGGTAGCCATCACTCAGACCTACTGCACCACAGAGCCATTTGTAGATGCCAAGTACGACATCAGGGTCCAGAAGATTGGTGCCGACTACAAAGCATACATGTGCATTTTTTTCTTATTTATTCATTGGGTTCGGGGAAGAGTTTTCTTTTATATAGTGTGTGTGGTCATGTGTGTGCTGCACAACATGTGTTTGTAACACATTGTATTTTGGGCTCAGGACAAGTACATCAGTAGACAGGAGACAGTGACATACGTATAATAGAGTGTAAACGTAGCAAAGTGAAATGTAAAGCTGTCATTTAACCCTTTAATGTGACTGTGTTTTTTTAAACATTGCTACATATCTCAGGTCTTCAGCGGGCTGGTACTACCATAAAGCAGATTAAGCCATAAATTTAAATTATATTGCTTGTTAACTTTTGTATCATTAACAATAACACAAAAATTGATTGACTCAAATACATGACTCTGGAGACAGTTCGGGTAAAATAACAGTAACAGAAGAACTATCAGTGGAGGCAAATCCAATAGGGATGAGGCAGAGGCAGAGTCAATCAACAGGCTAAATTAAAAAAACAAAAACAAAAAACAAGTAAAGGACGTAGGGAAACAAAAGGCTGGAGTGAGAGAAAACAAGACACACACACTCTGGTAAGGGGAAGGATAACGAGACACAGGTGAGGCTAATCAAGGTGGGACAGACAATCAGACACAGGTGAAGTCATCAAAAGGGAGAGAAAACACACAGGGACAGGAAGTGAAGTGATCTGAAACAAGAGGAGATGTGAGTTTCAAAGTAAAACAGGAAACAACATGAATGAATGAAAAAAAGTTCAGCAGCTGAAGTGGTTCTGTTTCATCATACAAAGACTTTTAAAGCATCCATTATGTGCAACTTTGGTGAATCCAAACTAACCCTTTAAAACACCAAAGTCACACAGTAACTTAAACAAACTAAACATCTGAGGCAATGGTAGGGCAGCAGCTGCCATGTTAGAAAGGTAGAATTACTGTTTTTGTCAATGGAGATTTTTTTATTTTTGGTGGCTAAAATTTGTTTTGCTGCTGCTCCTGTCCACAGCAGTAATAAGATTAAGAATCTCATAAAACCCCAGTTCAAGAATCCAGAGTATCCCTTTAACTGAATGAAATTAATTAATTGGACAGGATATTTTATGGTTCCAGATCTTTAGTTATTTGTTGTGTGTACACCTGAGCATCCACTATGAAACAAAGCCTGTGGTAACTAGCCAGTTTATCAGGACACTAATCAGCCTGATAATGTTCAGCTGCATACGCTGGCTTTTTACCTACAGCTAGTGCTGAAAATATCCCTCCTGCTACAAGGCTGTCTGACTCCCTCTCGCCTGTATTTACAGTTCCTACAAGTGAAGTTTGGTATCTGTTATGATTTAACACACAGTTTCCTCTTCTTTTCCAGGCGAACATCCATCTCTGGTAATTGGAAGAGCAACACTGGATCTGCCATGTTGGAACAAGTAGCCATGACTGACAAGTGAGCACCGCTTCTACATTAGTGCTGCTGCGGCTGCCCCTGTGCCGCACATGTCACAGTTAGTCACAATGCTCTCACGCAGCAGATTCATCGAGCTGAAACCAGTTCACATGGTCAAACACACAGATGTTTGATAAATCAGTTGATGTTGGTAGAGGACTGATGCTGCACAGTGCATTTATTTTCTCCTTTGGCTGAGGATGATGATCTAGTTTTCACATCGAGCTGTTCTGCTCGTGGCTGTAATCTGGAATATAGACCTTTTCCAAAGTGTGTGTTTTGACCTTTTACGGCAGGAAAAGCACGGGTATAATTTATAACATTAATAATGCATGGCATGCTGGGCTCACTGACATGGCTTACAGAGATACCAAAATGGATCAGAGCCGCCATTAATGTTAAGCTACAGCCTTGTTTCCTCTTCTATGACAAGCCAGAAGGACAGCTGTGAAAAAGGTCTGTTGTCAGATATAGGAGATATCACCCATATGGAGCACCACTAAAGAATAGCTCTGAATTAATTAATAAATGCTAACCTTAAGTATATAAAACGGTAGTTCAGTAGTTATTTGTCTGATTCTACAAACAGATTTTAGCTATACTTGATAATATTTGAGCTCTCCAAACACTGCTGCTTACACAACCCCCAACAGAATATGGAATTAATCCCTTTACTCATCAAAGTCAGTCTTGTCAATCATCAAATTACCTTACCACCATGCACTGAGCACTCCCACACACTGACTTGCACAGGGCTCGCACTGATGCTGCCATCGCCTCTATGTTCATTGAATCACCATGCACCTATATATTATAAATCTACCCATATACACATACTGTACACTGTGTACACTGCATTATACTTCATTACACTATTATTCTTCTCTCATATCATAATCATAATGTGTACCAGGCTTGGGTGGGATCACGTTATGCCAGGGTATTCAGAAATCCCATAAAAAATACATTCAATACGTTCGTCCTTCTATGAAACTTATCCACCTTATTTTCAAATACAGAAGTAAATAGTGATCAACTTCCATTTTTTTGTGCATGACTTCCGGTCAGCCGCTTTCCCTCATGCTTTCCCTTACCGGAGCTAACGGTGCAAGCTAATTTTTTTCAATTTTCAGTTGTTTATGTTAGTCAATCAGTTAGTTAGTTAGTTAGTCTGTGTATTTTATACAGATAACTGTGCCCACCTTTCCGTTATAACAGAAATTTATTCCCTCTAAACGCGAATAAATCGCATGTCAATCAAAAACTATGAACCAAAAAAGCACAATCTATCCCGAGTGAGACAAACTGCTTGATCCCCGTCTCCAGTGTACCAGCAGAGAACCTCCAGAACCAAATCAGCGAAAAAACACACCGGGCTACACAGCCTCTCCACCTGAGCAGCTGAAGCTGCAGCTCGCACTCTCGACACACAGACGGCACTTCAGCATGCCAGCCAAATGTGTGCGCAACTGTGAGAAATAAATATGTGAGGTGTACGCTGCTTTTCTATCTTTTTTTCCCTTTTCTTTCTTTCTTTCTTTCTGTCAGCGACATACACTCCTAACACAGGACGGGTTGTTTTAATTGACTGAGCTGATCATTAAGCCATAGTGATGCGTGGATCGGCTCTGATAGCACCCGAATCAGCATGTACGCATCAACCATCCAGCCATTACAACATGATTGAGCTAGCAAATCCGTTTTTTTCTGTTGCTATGTGTGGTATTTATTCAGTTTTGGGAAATTACGATGTCTAGAAAGCATCAGTGGCTGCAGCTGACAGGGACAGCTAACACTAGCAGCAAAGCTAACATCAGGACGTCATCCGTTAAAAGCCTCCTGTTGTCGGATACGACATGAAACTACTCCAGTTAGCTCAATCATGTTGTAACTAAGACATCCGCTGGAAAAAAAAAAATTCACGGACCGTTTATTGAGTTATTGAGTTACAGACACCGNAAACCATTTCAGGTGACTACCTCTTGAAGCTCATGGAGAGAATGCCAAGAGTGTGCAAAGCAGTAATCAGAGCAAAGGGTGGCTATTTTGAAGAAACTAGAATATAAAACATGTTTTCAGTTATTTCACCTTTTTTTGTTAAGTACATAACTCCACATGTGTTCATTCATAGTTTTGATGCCTTCAGTGAGAATCTACAATGTAAACAGTCATGAAAATAAAGAAAACGCATTGAATGAGAAGGTGTGTCCAAACTTTTGGCCTGTACTGTATATATATAGCTAAACTCAACAAGGTAAACAACAAGGCGATTCCCATTTATACAGTGGTCAAGAGTTTTGCCTCCGTGTTTCCGTGAAAAATAAGGTGGATATGGAGATGTTGTATTTAGGATGTATTGTATGTAATGTACATCACATGCCACCAAAGGTCAGTGTACTAGTGGAATGTGTGTTGAAAAACATGGTGAAGTGTTGGGGTAACAGGACAAGTAAACAGCCAACAGAAACAGCAGAGAAATGCTGCATATTTTTTATCTGACTCGGGTTGAATTTGAACAAATCAGAGGTGGGGATTGTTGGAACAGTGGACGAACTACCTAGGTGAATAATAGGAGTAGCTAAGATGGTTTTGTTGAGTTTTATTTTGTTGTTCTGTGAAGTTTGAATGAAGTGTGTTTTACGGTGAGTTGAGGCAGTTAGGCTAATGTTACTCTTGGTTCCCACCTACGTATGTGTACTGAGAAGACACAACCGGACAGCGAGTCAATGGAGCTCTTCACAGCCAACAGCACCTTTGTGGGCTGCAGCCAACATGGCCCCGAGCTAGAGACGCTCTGTAACAGGTTTACTGCTGGGATAAATGCCCTGAAGAGCAACATTTGCACTGACTTACTGTGCTGAAGTGATACATTATTCAGTTTTATTGATAAAGTTGTGTAGAAGAGTAAAACCTTTTTTTTACTATGATAAGTAAGATGCAGCAAGGCAGGACAAGTTCTGTTTTCATCCTCAGCTCTGCTCTGTAGAAAACAGTCAGATTCCTGCAACATTTTATGAACCACCTCAACTGCTAACTTTGCAACAACACAAAATAATTATTGTACATACAGGAGTGGAACCCTGTGAGAATTTTTATTTTTCTGTAAACAGATCATGACTCTTTTTGGACCTAATCCAGCTTCTCTTTGTGACAGGTTTAAGCTGTGGGTTGATACCTGCTCAGAGATCTTCGGAGGTTTGGATATCTGTGCCGTCAAAGCCATCTGTGGCAAGGATGGTAATGACTACATTACTGAGGTGAGAAAAAACACATACACAACAACAGGGGGGGAGTGGGGATGTGTGGCTTCTGGGGCTCCAGCCCCAATGTTCTCTCAAAAGCCCTGAATATATGCTGTTTGTGATTATTCTATGTTCTCTTGTTGGCCTAATGTTCACTTCAGAGTATTGAAGACCACATGTACATGTACACTTAGAGCAGCCCAGATAATGATTTAAATGCAGCTGATTTGTCAGCTGAACATTAATTCTGTGAACTCTGCTCCAACATAGTATAACAAAGAAAGGTTTCAAGATTAGTAATGCTGTTTACAACAGATTCCTACTTATGTAACTTAAATCGGAACATCAGACAATTTTTGCCTCTTTTACGTGGCAGAAGTGAAAATGAGTCATCCTCAACATTTGTTGTGTTACGGTTTCAGAATGATGGGTTGTACTAGAACATTTTTTTTCCTTAGCGACTATCATGTTTTTCCAAAATGATGTTCATGCTATTATCTTAAATGTCTTGAAAAATAGTGCATATAACTGCAGTTAACGAGGAAACAATCCCCTCCCAGGGAAACAGGCCCCCTGACCCTCCAAGCCCTGAGTGTTTTTACAAAATCTGGTTCCACCCCTGGTTTATTTATTTCATTTTATTTGCACGCATATTAAACTGCACAAAATCCAAATAGTAAAAAAGACAAAAAGAAATGTGTCAGGGGAGGTCAAGGTTTATACAAACAGACCTCCCCTCAACTTTAAGGATGAAAACAGACAATTACAAAAGTAGAAAGAAAAGTAGACAAAAGAGCTAAACTAGCATTATACAGAAAAATACAACCAAAGATAAACAACAACAGGAAACACATTGAGCAGTCAGTGAAAAATAAAAACCAAGAAATATATAGAACACAGTGCAGTGAAAAAAAATCATCTAGTGGGCCGGATTGGACCCTTTGGCGGACCGGTTCTGGCCCGCCAAACCCTACACTAAAGCAAAAAAGTCAAAAACTCAAACTCTTATTTTACAGCTGCTTTACATATTTACTGACTCCTACCTTTTGTTTGAAAACTTCCGGCATGTTGACATCAGCCTGTGGGAGTTGTGTTTCATAAGAAAATAATAAGGTCTTTGAGTCTTAAATTTAGCATGTCTGGCCTAATTCATACTGCTGGGGCCTCAGATTGTCTGGCTGGGAATAAACTGATTGAACCTAACCTGAATACACATTATGAGTTTGATAACTAACATCTGGTGATATTTCATGGGTAAGTATGGCTATTCTCTGTAGCCCACCTGTCGCAGAATTTGTTCTATTCAGCTACAATACCCTCCTCTTGTCTTTCACTCTGTTTCTTAGCGTACTGGTTTCATGCATCACAGTCTTTAATCTTGCAGTCATGGCCACAATAGTGGAGAATAACACATTAATGCAGGAATGTGCTTCGCTGTAATGACACGTTTCCTAAAAGTCAAGTGGTTACGTCTCAGTGTGGAAAATTATTAAATGCTCTGCTCCCATCATCTTCACTGAAAATATAGTTTGCAACATAACGAGTACAAAGACCAAAATGATCACAGTTATCAGTATTATCACAGTATTGTTTAAATGTGCTAAAAATGTACTGATAGGCACACTAAATTAATTTCACCAAGTTTTATATTAAAAACAACAAATAAATAAGCAGCACTGCATAAAAAATTAGAATTATAGCATAGCCAATAATTTATGTGGACATATGAAAACATATCAAATGTAACATTAAAGATAGCCTGTCATTAAAATGTTGGCTTGAGTGTCTCATCATTGGGTTTGCCTGCTGCGCGCCCACTCTGTAAACAAGTGACTGGCAAAACAAATGCACGTTGCATGACGCACCTGTGACTGGAAGACCAGTGCTAACTTTGGTTGATGTTGGACAGTTTTTACTGTGAGTTTTTCAAAGCATAGTAATTAAACATGCCTTTAATGATAGTTTTAATTTCGAACAGTAACACTAACCGTCTGGAATTTTATTGTGGTTTATCGTGAAATTGGCAGGCGTCTCATCCGTCCAGCATATGGTGATGTTGATTAAGGATATGTCACTGCTAAATGGGGTCACCTCTACCCACCTATTATGGGTCTGGCTTAAAAGCAGCACCCAAATGCACTGTGACACAGCTGGTAGAGTTAAATCTGAAGAGACAGGTCATGCGATGGCCAACGAGGCTCATAACATGGAGCTGGTGTGCAGTGACGGTAGCGAGGAGGAGATCCAACGAGACAAATAAACAAGCAGGAATGGTCAGGTGGGCAGGACTGTGGAAGAACGGAGACAGAGAGACAGGTACAACTTCAGACCAAAAGACAAATACTTGCAGAGAGAGGCTCATTCTCTGACAGAGAGACAGGTTCAGACTCAGGCTCAGAAAGACAGTTCAGTCAGGAACACTCAAGTCAAAGAAAACTTTATTTCCATTTGCAGTATTATATTTGGCGGTATGGCTCTGTTCTTGGGCCTCTCTGCCTTTCCATGTGCCTACGCAGAAAGCCTTTTCCACGTGCCTACGTAGAAAGCCTTAAGGCAGAGAGAGCACACCTGTCTGCCCTTCCACGTGCAAAAATGAGGAAAGTCTGAGGCAGAGAGAACAAACCTCCCTGCCCTTCCATGCACCTACATGGACAGCCTAAGGCAGGGAGAGCAGCAGTTTATTGCTGTTTACTTCCACTGTGCATTCTGCAACACTCTCCCTTGATGATACATCCATTACAGTGGTTTCACTCATAGATGTGGAAACATAGGCTGGTTTGTTAGATAGCACCAAGGTTCCAATAATCCTTTACGAAACCAGTTCAAGAACCAGTGCTAATTTAGTGGTAAAAGGGTTACAGAAAGACAGGCTCAGGATTGGATTGAAACAGGCTCAGGTTCAGACAGAGAGATAGGTTCAAGTTAAAGCTGAAATAGAGAGATAGGATCAGAAAAAACAGAGACTGACAGAGGAGCAGAGTCTCTGAACTTAAAGGAAAGATGATTCCTGGTCGACTGGATGACTGCTGGGGTGGGTGACAGTGGAGTCTCTGGAGTGCTGGGCCATCGAGGCATTAAAGCGATGGGCAGTGGAGTGACCAGAGAATGACCCCTGGGAGCCAGTGGAAATACACTTGCACTCAGGAGGCTGGAGTTGATTTCATTCCCAAAATGTGAACAGCCTGCAATTGATCCTTGCTTGGACTCAGGGTGGTTCTTCACAGAGGCAGCAGGGAACAAGACTGCAGAGGCTGAGAGGGCAGCCGCTATCCAAAGAAGGCAGCGAAGCAGGTAGAAGGTTAGCAGCGAGCTTGTCAAAAGGGTAAGGTAAAGTTCCACTGATTGTCACACACCTGAATGTGTGAAATTTGTTCTCCGCATTTGACCCATCCCCTGAGGGAGCGGTGAGCAGCAGCGGTGCCACGCTCGGGAATCATGTGGTGATCTAACCCCCCAATTCCAACCCCTGATGCTGAGTGCCAAGCAGGGAGGCAATGGGTGCCATTTTTATAGTCTTTGGTATGACCTGGCCGGGGATCGAACCCACGACCTCCCAGTCTCAGGGCGGACACTCTACCACAAGGCCACTGAGCTGGTAGGCCACTGAGCTGCTGGGAAGCTCTGGAAGTAACCAAGCAGGAACAGAAAGACACTTGAGAAGAATTTGGAGACTCAGGATCTGCAGCAGGGACTAATTTGGCCACAGGATTGGGCTGTTAAGTGTCCAAGATTTCTGCCAGCTCAGGGAGCAACTTTACAAGCCAGGGTTTGTAGGACACAAGATGGAGTGCTATAGAGAGAGCTGCTTCTATCTGGATGCATTTTGGCAGTAAGTACAGAGCCACTCAATGGTGCGGGTCAACGCAGCCCCCTCAGTGGAAGAAGCAGCATCAATTTTTGCCAAAATTCTGGCAGCTGGCGATGACTGACTGGACCACAATATAGACAGTGATGCTGCACATATTGTTAAAGACAGTTTCTATGTCTGAAAGTCAATAAACAAGATTACAGTTGGTCTTTGGCTTACATTCAAAACAAACAAATCCAATGGTGCTGGAGACATGTTTATATAGAGTAAACAGGTGAGACAGGTGGCGGAGGAGAACAGACAACTGTCAGGAGCAGGAAACTCTATGAAGACATTGAGCGGAGAAGTGAGGCATGACAAAGTTTGGGCAGTTATGATTACAAATCCCAGTGAGACAGTCAGACGCTGAGGAGGGAGGTGATACAGGAGCCACAATGACACCCACACCCGGTCACTGCGGTATCCAAGTAATGTTTCTAAACATCCCACTTACACTTTGAAGTAGGCGGACTGTCAGAATGAAATATTCAGTAGTTAAGTGGAAGGTAGATTAGATACTAAAGTGGGAAAGATGTGAAAAACATGTCTCCCCGTGAGTCATCTCAGCTGGAAAAGTGCTTTGGTTTTTATAATGATGCAGTGAAATTGCTGAGTGGAGATCCGTTTACATGGATGTTGACATAGTATCTGCAGTTTTATTTAGCAGCAGACTGACCGCCACAATGATAAAACATCTGGGTTACTGAAAATAATGATGATGACTATATCATATGCCATAATAAATTACCATGTGTTTCACATATTAAAGGGATAGTTCTGATTTTTTAAATTCTTTTTAGGTACTTGTGCATTGCCAGTGTATTATCTACAGTAGATGGTGGTTGGCTTGGAGAAGCAGGCAGGAGTACCACCAGGGAAGCAAAGCAATGTACTGCTGTGGATGGGGGCAGCAGCAAAACATATTTTAGCCACCTCAACAAATCTATTATCTTAAGTGTACGCTATATTAAGAATATTTCCACTGCTTTACCTTACCATCAGAAAGCCCTTCCAATGGTGAACTGAAGACATTATCTATGCTCTTTCCAAAGCCACCAGACTCCTTTGACAAAACCGTAATTTAACCTTGCAGAACACAAGAGTTGTTTGTCTACGGCCGCCTTGATCGATGAGTTTGCTTGTGTTATTGTGTGACTTGGGTCTTTTAAGGGGTTGGTTTGGATTGACCAAAAGGTGTACCAGGTGAGAGTTGACTTACATGACTCTGGAGACAGTTTGGGTAAAATAACTCTGTCTTTACTGATCAAAAGGTAGATTCAGTGCACAGGAGGTCTATCAGTGGGGCAAAACAAATCCAATAGGAGTGGGGCAGAGGCAGAGTCAATAAACAAGCTAAATTCAAAACAACAAGAAAAGGACACTGGGGAACAAAAGGCTGGAACACTGAGACAAATTGGCACTGAGAGAAAACAAGACATACACTAAATACTCTGGTGAGGGGAAGGATAACGAGACACAAGTGAGGCTAATCAAGGCAGGACAGACAATCAGACACAGGTGAAGTCATGAAAATGGAGTTAAAACACACAGGGACAGGAAGTGAAGTGATCTGAAACGAGAGGAGATGTGTTTCAAAGTAAATCAGGAAACATAAAAAAAAACATAACCTAAGAAGCTTGAGCTGTGACAGTCAGACAGTAACACAAACTAACTATCTTGAGACAGCGGTAGATCAGCAGCTCTCGTGTTCTGCGAGGTAAAATTGTTGTTTTCTGTCAATGGAGTCTGGTGACTTCGATGAGAGCATAGATGGATAAAATGGTGTCATTTCCCCATCAGAAACTGCTGCCTGAATACATTTAATATAGTGAATGGCATTGTGACTTGAAAAAGTGGTTTCTCAGTTTGAATAGAAACCAACCAATCAGCACTGCAGGGGGATTAACGATTAGCCAATTGACGCCACAGGCAGAACTAATACTGTTGTCAAGCGGGGCACCAGAACCAGTGAGAAGTAATGGCAATGGTGAGCACTGTAGACAAGATAGAGGCTGCTATCGAGGTTGTTCTAAATGGACATGTCTTCGCAATATCGCCCAAAGTCGTAGTTTGTTTTGACTCTGCTCCACTCCGCACCAAAAACCCTGGCAAAACAGGTGCATTGGCACGGCTATGCATCAGTGTAGACTTGACATTAGATTCAGGTGGATGCGTTGGTCTCTATTGTTTGGTTAGACAAAATCAAATCCCCCTCCCCAACAGAAATCAGTTAGAGTGGATGCAATGACAGACTGAGGATAAAAAATTAAGTATAACAAGGTGGGAATTTGTCTGATATCAGGAAAGTGTACAATTAAAATGATATTGATTTTTTTAAGTGGCTAAAATACGTTTTGCTGTTGCCTCATCCACAGCAGTATATCACTGTGCCTCGGTGGCTGTGCTCTTGCCTGTTTCTCCAAACTGGGGTGTGTTGTTGCTGTCCTCTGTAGGTAGTACACTGACTATGAATTATACAGCCACACTTAAAAAAATCCAATTTATCCTTTTAACATATGCATATATGTAAGAACAAAACCTTTGACAGTATTCATAAAAAGCCTACAATATAAAGTAAAACCACACTGACCATAAAAACATAAACTCTAATCAAATTTGACACAAATTTTCTATCTGGGAGAAGACATAACAGTCTTATAAAGACGCCAGGAGCTATTACCACACATAAAATGTTGACCACTGTGTCGACCTCCTTTATTTGTCTGTCCTGACTTTATTATCCCGTCTGGGTCAGAAACATTTCAGTCATGTAACCTTTTCAATAAAAAAGGCCCACATTTTTCTGAGATGCTGTCTGTGCCCTCTTTGTCCAGGTTGTGGGTTCATCTATGCAGCTGATTGGTGATCACCAGGCCGAGGACCGCCAGCTCATTTCTGAGGTGGTGTTGGCTAAGATGAATCAAGCACTGGCTACCAGGTCATCCAGTGCTTCACGTTCACCTGCTCGCTCCCCTCAAGGACAGAAGCCAACTACTGTGCAGCCCCAACAGGTAGAGTCTGATATGAAACCTGTGAATTCGTTTTTTAATTATTAGATTAAGTATAAGATTAAGGTCTTTTTTTTGGTATTTAAGGTCATACAAAATGCTGGAAGATACAATAATACCCCCCCCCCCCCCCACACACACACACACACACACACACACTCACACATATGCATGTTTCTGTTCCAACAGAGCCCCATCCCCACTTTACTATTGAGCAATCAAACAGAATCAATTGCACAAACAATTACAACTACGTATAAACAAATTCAAATGGACAAAAAAAGAAAATTAATAAGAAATCCTTTACATAAAAAAGAGACAAAAATGGTAGATGAGACAAAATAAATTAAATTTAAAAAGTGCAATAGACTGCAATAGATAAAAAATAATGAATAGAAAAGAAGAAAAAATAAATAAGAAATAAAAATAAGAAAATAAAAAATAAATTAATTAAAAATGAGTAGTAAGGAAAACTTACCAAAATAAATAATAATAAATGAGTAAACTATATATAACATGGGGTCAGTATTACAAGACAATATCAGTGGTGTCCATTTTTTCTTTATAGGTTAAAAAGGTTGCTTAATAGCATACATTTTCTGAGCACAACCTCTTGTAGAATGGCAAATGGTGCATAAGGTCTTTAATTCATTTCTTAAACTCTGGAGGTAATGTCTCCTTCCACTTAAGCAGTATAAGTCATTTTGCTACAAGAGTTGCAAAAGCGATCACATTTTTTACCTGACGACTAAGCTCTACATCTTGTGGAGCTCCAAATACTGCAGTTGTAGCAGAGGGTTCTTTGGGTACTTCCAAAGCATCGAAAAAGGTTTTAAAAAATGTTTGCCAGAAGCTATTTAGTTTTGGACAAAGTCAAAACATATGTGAAAGGGTGGCTGGTGCCAGCCTCGACACTAGACATCAACTGTGCTATGGACCAGTGAAGACAATGCCAACTAAACCCATGTATTTGTAATGTACGACCCAGAATAAACAGCTACAGTGACACATGCTCATACAACATTTATCTCTGTTCTCCTCTTGAGTGTAAGGACAGAAATCCAAGAGATTAATGTCTGCAGGAAAATCACTTTGTTGTAGCCCTTTAGAGTTCACTGCACATTCTTTACCAAAACCCGCTTAACCATGTTTGCCTTTCTTTCCCACTCTCTCCCACTTTGTTTTTCTTTCTTTCTGTCTGTCTCCCGCCCCCTCACTCTCTCCCAGAGTGCTGCTCTTAAGGAAGGACTGGCAGATCCAAACAGGACCTCGGGCCAGCGCCCTCAGCCTCAAGGTTGTCTGAACACTGCTCTCCATTGTAATACAAGTGCTGCCACTGTAGGGCCAAAGCATGTCTAGGAAACAGTCGTGGGACAGTTTGCGCTTACGGATTTTTCTGAGATAAACTATCCAGTGAAAGTTTCCCTGTCGAAATAAGCACTGCCACTAGAGAAACAAAAGTCACTGAGAAAGCTCTCTAATGTTGGTTAACTCGTAGAATTTATTTAAATTAAAAAAGAGAGTGAAACCAAGATATAACCTTTTAATTAGAGGTGCTGGTGGACGTACTTTGCTACCTTGGACAGAGCCAGGCTAGTAGTTTCCCCCTCTATTGTGCTAAAATAAGCTAAGCTAAGCTAACCAGCTGCTGTGCTGTGGCTTCAGACATGAGAGTGGTATCAATCTCCTCATCTAATTCTAAGCAAGAAAATTATTTGTATTTCCCAAAATGTCTGACTGTTTCTTAAAGAGACAGAGAAGTTTATATTTTGTCTGCATCTATATCTCTGTTCCTTGAACGTAACATCGTTCAAGAATGGAAACCTCTGCTGTCTGTTTGATCTGCGGCCTTGTCTCTGTTTAACTTGTGACTTGAATTATGAAGCAAATATCCAGTGCATTTCGCCGCCTGTGAGTTTAATTGCAGCCATATTGTGTGTGTTAGTGGTGTGATGTTTGTGCTCAGGGCTGATGTGTTACAACTAAATGTGCCTACTAAAAGCAGCGGTAAAACAGCGTATTATGTGGTAATTTAACAAAGCCATTATTATTTGATATGTTTTGTTTGTGTGTGTGTGTGTGTGTGTGTGCATGTTTGTTTATTATATTAAATTCCTATTTCTCATCTTGCATGGACGTGGCCAGTGCTCCATGTCGTGTGCTGGTTGTTTTAGTGATGCCAGCTTTTTATGGAGTAGGAGTTGGAGTTGTGAGAGATGAACATGTGTCAACAGTGTTGAGATGTTAAGATGTGCAAATCGGATTGCAGCTCAGTTTATTTGAATTTCACATTAACGACGATGCCGTTCCAAGACAGTAATCTAACACTGTGAAACATGATTGCACAGCGGTAGACGAGCTTATTTATAGATGGATGTTCTGTTTGTTTTCTGTGCATTCTTATATGGAGAGTAAAATCGCTTCTTTAATGTGCTGCAAATGATCACTGTGCTAGTTCTGGTCAGCTCAGTTGTGTTTCTTAGCTTTGTGATTAATGCTGGGCTTTTGAATTCTTTGTAATTATCTTTAAACTCTGTACATTGTGATGGTGCAAATCAGTTTGTGGTCTCCAGATAGATTTTTCCTTTTGTCAAGAAACAAAGCCCCCTCTGCAAGACCTGAATGTTTTGTGAATAACTGCTCAGTGTTGTCTTTGGTTGTAAATTAACTCCCATTGTTCTGTGTTATAATACCTGAGACAAGACAAAGTGGCTCTATACGGTACACAATACATATTTTCCTTGGCAATTAAAAAAAAAACCTGCTTACGTGATCAATGAAAAGTTTCAAAGAAAATAAGCATCTTTTTCTTTCTCTGCATGTTCATTTCCAAATTTGCTTGGATCCAGATGACTGAATTATTGATTTTTGATCTTCATACATTGTCTGGCTACAAATATTGGTTTAGTGATACTTAATTTACAGCCTGTGGGCCAAATCAGGCTCAGGACAGGGTGCCATGAGGCCCGCTGACCATCTTCTAATTCACGATAAAAATAAATTGATTCACACTGGGATGTTTTTGTACTTTGAATGTAAATGAGGTGCCGCAGTGCATTAAAAAAAGCATCAAAATAGAGCTTGTTTATTTTAAATAAAGTGGCAGAGGAGGATCCTGTGATCCCCTGACAGAGGTCTGGGCTAATCATTTATATATTAATTATTAATGCTTGTTCATTAACTAGCCCCTGGCCTCCTGCCATTATGCAGAAGTGGCCCCTGGGCAGAGGAAATTTAGTTTCCCTGTGTTAGTCTGACATTTAGTTTAAAGTTGGTAACTTTGTGTTATATTTGCTGAAAATGTCACTATATTCTAAAAGAAGTACACGAGACAGTCTGAGAAAAAAACTTGTCCCTCTTCCTCTTCTTATTGCTTCTAATGGCATTTGCTAGAATCTGCCGCAGTGCACTGAAAACAACCAATCAGAGCCAAGGGGGAGCTGTCAGTCATGTCAAACACTTTGTAAACTGCAGTAAAGCTGTAAAGCTCGACAGCGCTGATCAAATGTAAATCAAGATGCTGTTACTGCATTGCCTATTTCTCATCACAGAATGTTTCCAGAAACATATTTTAGTGTACTGTTTAGCTGTTAAGTGAGAAAGTGTGTGACCCAGTCGCCATGTTGGATACAGTCGACAGAAGCACCAAAAACCACCACTGAAACATATTTTAGTGTACTGTTTAATGAGAAAGTTGGTCCCACCAGTGGCAGTTTTTGGTGCTTCAGTCAACTGTATCCAACATGGCGGCCAGCTCACAAGCTTTCTCATCTAAAAGCTAAACAGTACACTAAAATATGTTTCCAAAACCATCTGAGGTGAGAAATAGGCAATGCAGTAACAGAATCTTGATTCATATTTGTTCAGCGCTGCCTAGTTTGACCGCAGTTCACGAGGCATGATTGACATGACTGACAGCTGCATTGAGAATCTTCGGTTCTGATTGGTTGTTTTGGTTGACATGCTGTAAGGCCATTAGAAGCACCACAAAGCAGTGGAGAAGACAGAGGAATTTGTTTGTTTGTCTTATTTAGTGCTGTGTGAATATAATAGTTACATCATATGAAAAAGAAAAAAAAGATATGGTTTAATAAAAGTTACCAGCTGTAGCTTTAACACACATTAAAGGCTTTACCAGTTTGTTTACTTGCATGGCTGAACTGCCTCTTCAGATAAAGTTGTCACCCAAGTGACTAAATCTGATCAGCACAAAATCTAATAAAAGAAAGTAATTCAATGTTTGTATCCAAGCAAATTGTTATTGTGTCACCCTTTATGAATTATGTTTCTACAAATGGTATTTTCTTTGGTTTTTATGCGTCGTGAGTCCCAAGCAACCATTGGGATGCTTTATGACAAACTCGTAAAAACGTAAGATTTACTGCAGCTGCCTCACAGTAATGACTCTCTGAGAATGCCTGGGATGAATTTTCATGAAGGTTTGTTAGTGGTCATATCATGTCATCATGTATGATCTTATATCTTGTGTCATAAAATGTATACAGTAACACAAATTAACACACACTTTAGAAGTTGTCTTCAAATAAACCTTTTCATAGAGGTTTCAGCATATAATTTACATACCCAGCTACAATCCTGCATCCTGGAAAGTAAATTATCAGCCGTTGGAAACTCATCCCTGCCCAGTCACCTCCCTCTCAGCATGTGTAATCATATGTTTCTGTTGAGATGCATGATGGGTTGCTTTGCTGCCTGTGTTTGAGTCACTGAATTGTTTGATCCTCTCTTGGTTGTAACATCTCTGCTTTTGTTATTTATTTATTTCATTCTCATCTTCGACTCTTTCATTTCCTCTCGTTGCCTCTGTTTTTTTTCCCACCACACTACCTCCTAATGGTCACGAGTTGTTGTGCATAAAAGCAACCCAACACTTGGCATGTCAGACTAGTTACCACACCTTCTCTTAACTGTTGATCTGCTGCCCCCTGCTGGTCATTGCAGTCCAAACATTCAGAGCCTGCTTTGCCCTGTTCTTGACAGATGAGTTGGTGAGGATTTTTATGAATGTGACAGGTCCTTATGTGAATGGGCATGTCTAGATTCAAAATCATTATCTGTATCATGTTCTGCCTCGGTCATTGGTGAGTGTTACAGGCGACTGGTTTTCTAACTGCTGCACTATAAAAACAGGTGCTCCATCTAAGAAATAATGATGCTTATTTATTCAACCCAATAGCCAGTATAAATGTTGGCTTTATATGTTTTTGTAAAACACAGATATGTTACATTTATACATTTTTGTGTAGCAAATATGTTAGACTTTATGTTTCAATTTTCAATTTTATGTTGCAACAATGATATGATTAATGTGTGGTTAATGTTTAAGCACAAAAACCACTTGATTAGAATTAGAAAAACATCATGTTTTGGCTTAAAATACCCAGTTGGGTTGCTACAAGCACTGCTGGACATGTCCCAAACTGTTGTTAAAAACACCCTCGTTAACCACTACAAACACCACTGGACATGTCCCACACTGTCATTAAAAAATAACCGCATTTGTCCTTAGAAACACCACTGGACATGTCCCGAACTGTCATTAGAAAATAACTGCATTTGTCGCTACAATCACCACTGGACATGTCCCAAACTGTTGTTAAAAACACCTGCTTTTATCACTACAAACACTGCTGGGCATGTCCTGAACTGCCGTTAAAAAATAACTGCATTTATTGCTAGAAACACCACTGGACATGTCCCAAAGTGACAAATACTGAAAGCACCTATCATTTCTGACAGCGGGCAAGCTCTCTGCCAGCCGGCACGGCTACCTGCGCTGCAATGCGCGCCTTGAAAAAAAAATAAAATAAAATAAAGACAGGCAGGCCAGAGCAGACCACTTGCGGGCCAGGCCAACAGGGAACTCTCCGGTTCTCCCATAGGCCAGTGGAAAAAAAAAACACCCGCTTTTGTCACTACAAACACCACTGGACATGTCCCAAACATTCAAAAAAACACCTGCTTTTATCACTACAAACACCTCTGGACATGTCCCAAACATTCAAAAAAACACCTGCTTTTATCGCTACAAACACCTCTGGACATGTCCCAAACATTCAAAAAATCACCCGCTTTTAGCACTACAAACACCTCTGGACATGTCCCAAACTGTTAAAAAATACTCACTTTTGTTGATAACAGTGGTTGGCTGCTGCTTGATGCTCGGTAGCCATCTTCCCCATCCAATGTGCCCTCCGGCTCTTGAAGAGAATGTGAACTACCTCACAGGTATAAAATGTACAAATGTAACATATCCATGGTTTTCAAAAAAGGTACAATGCCAAGATTTTATTATGGTGACTTGGCTGATTTATTTATTTCCTTTATCCTTTGCTTTTTTGTTTGTCTTGGGTGTATGTGTTACAAAGCCATGGAGCACTCATATAATATAACTATGTTTAATCTTTTAGGTGCACCAGTGAAATCACAGAGTGTGGATACATCATCAGAGACAGCTAAGAGGGCATCTGAACCAGTACCAAAGCCCAGCCAGGCCCAGAAACCTAGTCCTGGTCCAGCTCAGAAATCAGCTCAGGCTCAGAAGGTCCCGGTCCAGAGGGCCACCTCAGTCACAAAGCCTCCAGTGCCGAGGCCTCCCCCAATGACGAGAGCCCCATCCGTTGCAAAGTCAGTCCCAGATTCCACCCCAGCCCCAGCCAAAGCTTCACCATCATCCCCAGCTAAAGCAGCAGCAGCAGCCGCAGCAGCTCCAGGCTCTCCCCCGACCAAAGCAGCAGCAGCAGCAGCCACAGCTCCAGCCTCATCTCCAGCCTCGGCTCCAGCCCCAGGCTCTCCCGCAGCCACAGCTCCTACCACAGAGCAGCCCAAGCCCCAGCCTCAGGGCTCCCCATCCCCAGCCCCTGGCAAACCAAAAGAGCTGCCCCCAAAACCCACACCACCTGCAAAGCCCATCCCTCCTGTACGCAGGAATTCAAAGCCGCAGCTCCAGCCAAAGCCACAAACCCCGCCGCCTCCCAAAGCTTCACCTAAACCCCAGCCCGCTGCCCAAGCCCCAGCACCCACTCAGGCCGCAGATATTGCCTCAGCCCCTGCCCCTGCACAGGTCCAGTCCCCAGCCAAAGCCAGCCAATCCCCACCTAGTGTCCAGTCTCCAGCTAAGGCTCAGCCCCAGGCCAAGCCGCCCTCTCCCTCCCAAAACCCTGAGCCTGTCCCAGATGAAGCAGCTGCGGCCCCCGCTGAGGGAGAGGCCCCTGTGGAAGAACAGCCAGGAACCCAGCAAAAGACCCATCCTCTGCTGAAGTAAGCATTATCAACACACTGTTGAGAATGCAAAGACATGCATTTCAATGGGCCATACTTTGTGTTTAGGATCCAAAATTAAACATCAATATTCATTCTTCTGTAGAAAAATAATATGTGTAATTACAGTCATATGCAACACTTAAAGTATCGATACATTTTTTTGTTTTAAAAGTGTTTCTTAGTGTGCCAGTCCAAGACGTAACCTGTTGAAAGAAGATTATCATCCATTTGGACAGTTTTAACTGTCCCTATTTTAGCACTTATGAGCAGTATATAAACATTTAATATGATGTTTACTGTAAAGTTGTTGTAAGCAGATATAAAGATTTTTTAAAGGTTATATATACGAGATTTTGAACATTGATATATCAGCAAACCACTATTTGCTATGTGAAGATGTGGTGGAGTAATGGTGAGCAGAGAGTGAAGTCACACTCCCTCTCTATGAGTTGTGATCCGAACTTCTCTGTTCTTTGTTCTGGTAGCCGGGCCGACCGCGCCTGTGTGTTAGTACATGTGGGTACCTCCCTTCATGTCCCACTGATTAGCTAATCGCCACTGCTCTGCACAACGCTCATACAGCGTTTACAATTGAAAGACAACATAATAGAAAACAGTTTTAATTATAAAATATGTCTTCATAAGAAGTTATTCAATCATTCATTCATTTGCCATAACCACTTAAACTCTTGAGGGTCATGGGGGCGGGCTGGATCCTATCCCAGCTGCGATTAGGCGAGAGGTGGGGTACACCCTGGACAGGTCGCCATAGTAATATATAGAGACCATTCACACTCACATTCACACCTACAGACAATTTAGAGTCACCAGTTAACCTGCATGTCTTTGGACTGTGGGAAGAAGCCAGAGAACCCGGAGAAAACCCACGCTGACACGGGGAGAACATGCAAACTCCATACAGAGGGGCTCCAGCTAGCCAGCCAGCAGGTACAACCCAGAACCTCTTGCTGTGAAGCGACATTGCTAACCACTGCATCACCTTGCCGCCCTTATAGGAAGTAATGATCAATGAAGATACTGCTTGCAAGTTTGCCATTTTGACCGTCGCCATCTTGGTTTTTTGGAGCCAGAAGTGATCATATTTGGATGAGAGGTTGGGGCTGTGGTGGAGCAAAGGGTGAATCTGACTCACAGATTGCAGTGTTGCCTTGCAGACAGCCTGTCACTCAAAGTGACCCGTCTTTAATTATGCGTAACTTTCTGCCTTAATAAAATGTAAACGGTAAGTTGTGTAAAAATTCACCTGCTGTGCAGTTGTCATGAAGGGGCATCCGGCTATAGAGAAAGCCTTTTTTTTTTAACCAGGCTGCAAAGTTGAGCATTTTAACATAGAGGTCTACTGGGATTGACTCACCTCTGGAGCCAGCCTCTAGTGGCCATTGGAGGAACTGCAGTTTTTTTGGCACTTTTGCGTTAGCTTCATTTTTCAACCTTGGAGGTTGCCGCTTGCAATAAACACTTAAAATGTCCTTGTATCTACTTATAACCACATTATAATGTGTTATACCTAGGGTTGGGACTCGTTAGGATTTTAACAATTCCGATTCCTTGCCGATTCCTTCTTAACGGTCCGATTCCTTACCGATTCCTCTTACCGATTCTGTATTTCAGATTTAGAGCTTGTATCATCTCCCTGAGAATATATAACAACAAAAAGTGATTTCTCTGATTTCTACAGTAACACTGTTACCTCAAATTAACCACAGCAATGTAATAAAAAATACTTATATGCATTCATGCTTGGGCACTGTTATTTACGTGACAACACCTGAACAGAACTCACACACACATTGGCTGTTTGTTTCTACCGCTCCCCTCGCTGGAAGCGGACCTCCCGCCGCCCGCCTCCGCCTTGATTAAACACTGAAAATTAAATAAAAGAGGGAGACAGGTGTCTCCTATTTTATCTTATTTTGTTATATTTTTCCCTCTCCCCTTGCTGGAAGTGTGGGACCTCCCACCGCCCACTCCCGTCTCAAACACGGAGGTCTCCCTCTCCGCTGAGCAGGCACGCCCGGCCTGTTAAATAGCCTGTAACCATGACAACTGTGTGACACAAACTCAGTGCTTTAGTGATTAGATAATGTCGGGCTCGGTCGGGTTCGGACAGAAATATGCGCAATCTAGGAACCGTTTGCAGGAACCGTTACGCCAAATGTGATGGAACCGGTTCCGGAACCAGAACTTTGGACCCGGTTCCAAAAAAGAACCAGATCCGGATCCCAACCCTAGTTATACCTGATCTAGCACTTGTTCATATACTGCTCATATATGATAAATAGCGGGGGTTAAAGCACAGTGCTAATATTGTGGAATGTTTTCTAAAGATCTTTGTACAAATATTGTGTTTGTGACTTTTTGGCCCTCTTACACATTTCCCTGTTTGTCTTATATCCTTACATTTCAAACTTACTCCATTAACACTCACATAATCCTTCATTCCTCCCTGAACCCCATCCTACCTTCCCTCCCTCCTTGCCCACTTGCTCTCCTCCCTCTCTTTTTCCCCTCCTCCTCCTCCCTTCCCAGTAAGTCCCAGTCCTTGACCAATGCCTTCAACGCCTTCAGCGACTCCTCTTTCTTCCGCGGGGTCTCGAGCTCCGGAGGTGACGGCCAAGACGAGGCAAAGGCCGAGACCATTCGCAACCTCCGAAAGTCCTTCGCCAGCCTTTTTTCTGACTAGCCACAGCCGAACCGTAGTCAGCCCCCTTATTGATTCTGGCCCCTTCCTTTTACCGTTGGCCAGTGATGACTTGATTGACATTAAATGTGAACCAGTCTGAGATTAAACTTTGTGTGTTAACTGTACTGTATTCCCTCCGTCCCCGGTCCCTCTTCTCCTCCACTTTCAGCTTCTCTGTGTGAATAACAGTGAGGCCTGCTGGGTAGGATGTTCAGTGAGTGATGCTGTGCCAGAGTAATTGGACTGAAGGAGTTACGTCATTGATAGAGAATAGAATAGAATAACAAAATATTTATTTTTCCCAGAGCACACTTTAAGAAACTCGTTCTGAAGTATATAAAAAAAGTATATTCAAGATTACAGAATGTACAAATATATATATAATATATTTATATATATATACAGTATATAAATATAAACACAGATAACTATAAAGGGAGATAAGCCAATGATTAAAAAAATCCAGTAGCATTTTTCAATCGTTGTCAGTGACATAACTCTTTCATTCAGAGGCTGGATTCATACACGTTTGAAAAAAAAATATCAGATATGTGATGTTTGATGGTGTCCCCTACAGTGAGTCAGTCAGTAAGTGAAAGTATGCAAGTTTAAAAAAAAAAAAAAAGGATGTGTTTGTGTAAATCCAGCCGTTGTGTCTCTGGTCCTTGACTACGGACTTCTGGGCTCGTCATCACCGGCCTCCTTTTTTGTCTACAAGCCTTGAAGTTCATTGTCGTGTGAGGGAGTCAGAAATCTGTGTATGTTCATCTGTGTTCAATTCTTATGCATGGCTCCTCCAAGTGGCTCGGTGTGAATTTTGGAGCAGAAGGGAGCTCTATTAGTGTTGAGTTTTGCCCTCCGTTGCCTCTCTCTTTCTCTTTCTCTCTCTATCTCTCTCTCTAGATGTTGTAGCCTTATTGTGAACATGTTTTCAATCCACAGCTATGTTCGTTAGCTGTGCAGACCTGGGTCGATTACAACTCGAAATTCATTCATTTATTTCAAGTGTTTAAATGAGTTAACAAGTGAGGGTGAGATTTATTGCAGCTGTTGCTGGGAGCTTTGGGACTGGGCCCAGTGCTCCAGAGCGAATAAATCAATCCTAAAAACTAACTGAATGCATTTCAAAGAGTAACAAGACTCATGTCTGTAGCTGTGACTGGTGATTTCTTGTTCCACCTCTGTGTAGATCTATCAACAGTATTGTAATTTGTTGATTATTCTCATGAAAAGACATTGAGACAGTAGTGCAATAACACCTCGACATGACTGTTGAGCGCTGTCATTATGAATATAAATATGATCATACATACAGGACCTGTGTATCTGTTAAATACCTTACTCTTACATTCCCTTTAAGATTCCTTTCAGTCGCGACTCTCCAGGTTGCTTTTCACTGCAGTCAGATGCTGGGTTTCAGATTAATACGCCATATCAAACTGCTGGTTTCTGTGATCAATCCTGTTTGTGGGACTGACTGTAAAGCAACCTGGAATTAATCCTGTACCTTAATTAATCAGTTGATTTGCTGCATTTTACAGAGCCACTAAAGTCCCAGAAAGTAAACAATTTTTTTTATCCTGTGCACACAAGTTATTTATCTTGTGGGAACAAGTTCATTACCTTGTGGGAACAACTTATTTATCTTGTGTGCACAAGTTATTATCTTATGAGAACCAGTTATCATCTTGCATTCACAAGATGTTGACTTGTTCCCAAAAGATAAATAATTTGTGTGCACAACATAAATAAGTTGTTCCCACATAATAATTATCTTGTGCGCACAAGGTATTATCTTGTGTTGACAAGTTATTATCTTATGGGAACAAGTTACTATTTTGCAGGCACAAGATGCTGACTTGTTCCCACAAGATAAATATTTTGTTTACACAAGATATATAAGTTGTTCCCACAAAACAATTATCTTGTGCACACAAGTTATGTTATGGGAACAAGTTATCTTGCACACGAGAGATGATTACTTGTTCCCACAAGATAAATAAGTTCCCATAAGATAATTAACTTGTTCCCAAAAGGTAAACAAGTTCCCACATGATGAGTAATTTGTTCCCACGATGTAAATATAACGTGCACATAAGATAAATAAGTTCCAACATGGCAATCAACTTGTTCCCTTAAGATAAATAAGTTCCCACATGATGATTAACTTGTTCCTATGAGGTAAATAAGTTCTCACATGGTAATTTACTTGCTCCTTCAAGATAAATAAGTTCCCATAAAATAATTAACTTGTTCCCAAGAGATAATTTACTTGTTCCCACAGGGTAAATAAGTTCCCACAAAATAATTAACTTGTTCCCAAGAGATAATTAACTTGTTCCCATGAGGTAAATAAGTTCCCACAAAATAATTAGCTTGTTCCCACAGGGTAAATAAGTTCCCACATGACTTACCTGCAAGGTAAGTAAGTCCTCACAAGATAATTAACTTGTTCCTACAAGGTAAATGTGTTTTCACATGATAATTAACTAATTCCGACTGGGTAAATAATTTGTGCACACAAGATATATAAGTTCCCACATGATAATTAACTTCTCCCAGCGTGATAATTAATCAGTTGCCATGAGATAAGTAACTTGTGCACACAAGACAGTTAATTTGTTCCCACAAGAGAACTTGGGCGCACAAGTCGATTATAATTGAGATAAATAAAAATTCACCTTTCGGGACTTTGGGGGCTCCGTAGAATTTCGAGTTCATATGTGTAAAAAAAATCTGAACATTTAAGAAGTGCATATCAACCTCTCTGCTTATCCATTTCCAGTACTATGTTGCGAGTAAATTATAACATATTGTATTTGTATGTATGTATGTGTCATCTCTCAGGAGTTTATTTTTTGTAATATATTGATTGATTGATTTTTTTTTTTTTTTTTTTTTTTTGAGGCTCCATATTTATGGTACAGTATATATTGTTTGTTTTGTATTGTGTTTTTATCTGTAACGCAATACTGCTTTGCATGATCTGGTGACTGATGATGGGTTTTTTTTCTGTACAGATAAAAGTTAATAAAGATGTGGTTCCATCATTCCACTGATTCACTAAGTAAGATTCATGCTGATGTCTGTGCCTTTTGTTTGTTTTCTTCAAATGGGAGCGGCAGTAGCTCAGTCCATAGGGACTTGGCTTGGGATCCGGAGGGTCACCGGCTGAAGTCCCCATCCGGACCAAATATGGAGCGTGGACTGGTAGCTGGAGAGATGCCAGTTCTCCTCCTGGGCACTGCCCAGATGCCCCTGAGCAACCCACTGAACCCCCAACTGCCCAGGGCGCCTATCCAAGGCAGCCCCCTCACTCTGGCATCTCTCCATGTAACGCGTGTATAGGTCCTGTTTGTGCATGTGTGTATTTTGGGCCTGTGTGTACATGACAACAGAGTGAAAAAAATGTAATTTCCCCTCAGAGATTAATAAAGTATATCCTCTTCTTCTTCTAAGAGCCACATAGTCTTCACACATACAGATCACTTTATTCATCACAGGGGGAAAGCCTGTGTTACAAACTGGGGACATGGAAAGATATGGGTGCTTACCAAGCAGTGAGTGTACAAAGAAAATATGCTATTGACTTGCATTATGGGAAATGTAGGATCAAAGGAGCGGTCACCCCCCCTCGTGGCCCAATTGTTGAAAAAGGCGTGCTAAAGTGCCCTCCTGGGAGCCAAAACGCACGCTAAAGTGCCCTCCTGGGAGCCAAAACGCACGCTGAAGTGCCCTCTTGGGAGCCAAAATGCGTGCTAAAGTGCCCTCTTGGCAGCCAAAATGCCCTCCTGGGAGCCAAAACGCACGCTAAAGTGCCCTCTTGGGAGCCAAAACATGTGCTAAAGTGCCCTCCTGGGAACCAAAAAGCACGCTAAAGTGCCCTCTTGGGAGCCAAAATATGCGCTAAAGTGCCCTCCTGGGAACCAAAAAGCACGCTAAAGTGCCCTCTTGGGAGCCAAAACACGCGCTAAAGTGCCCTCCTGGGAACCAAAACGTGCGCTAAAGTGCCCTTCTGGGAGCCAAAACGCGCACTAAAGTGCCCTCTTGGCAGCCAAAATGCCCTCCTGGGAGCCAAAAGGCATGCTAAAGTGCCCTCTTGGCAGCCAAAATGCCCTCCTGGGAGCCAAAACGCGTGCTAAAGTGCCCTCTTAGGAGCCAAAAAAAACACCAAACTGCCCTCTTGGCTGGTTAAAACATGATAAACTTAGTGCCCTCTTCAGTGGCGAGAATGTGCTGTATGTGCCCTTTTTTTTTCTTTTCGCCCCTGCCCCTCAAAAAGTCTGTGCACTGCAGACTGCCTTGATTAAAGTGTAGCCTGCTGTTAAGTGATGATAACTATCAAGGTTTAAGGCTCACTAGTGCTAAAAGCATGCATCAGTCTCAGTGTCTGCCCATTAGAGATATTGCAGTACTTTGGCCATATTGCCAGTATCACAATAAAGGCAGAGAACACATACAGCTGTGACAATGAGCAACTTGAATTCAGTCAGCACAAGACTCAGCGCCAGGAGTCTAGTCCTGGACTCCATTGCTGTTGTTACACAGTCCTGGTGCTGGGGTTAGCTAGAATTTGAATTTGAATTAGAGTTACTGCAGCCACAAAGTGAAGGTCCGTCTGTGCAGCTGTTGTCCACTCTCTTCCTGGTGAAGAAGTCTCCTACAGTGGTGGAGAGTAAGGGGGAGGGACCGTAGGCTGCACTAGCTGGCTCATGTGTAGTCCCATAAGCAGTGAAGTCATTAAATTCAGTGTTCACATCACTGTTTTGGCAGATGTAAAGGTACACTTACCCCTATGGAGTGCAAGCATGAGCAACAGGATGTCGACGCATTTTATTTTAAACCCACCGATGTCATTATTTAAATGATTTTCTGAAAGTTTACATGTAAAACCTCTGAGCTGTACTGACACCAGGTGAATCTGTGCCCTTAAACTGTCATAGTAATAAAGTGAGAGAGTTCACAGTGTGAGGTCAATGACAGCTCTGTTTGTTCTGTGGTCTTAAGGACACATCAGCAGGGCAGGTGGATGTTGCCTGAACTAGACCTTGGACCCATTTCCTTCACCTGGAAAATAGTCTGTGCATCTACAAAGGCATCCACGACTTTATAATCACAGAACAATCTCAAAGAGAGTAGTGATTGTCACACTATTTGGCTGCAACGTCACTGTCACAATTTTAACTTTCTCACTATATTAGAAGTGTATTTCATTTATATTATACTAGGGAAAATTGACACTTCAGTATATATCTTAGAAAGCCTAAGAACCATGCAAACATGCAACTTAAAAAATCTTTGCTCCAGATACTGCTCGACTGATCTGTTGCTGTTGTTCCGATTCACATCAGAGCTGATTTCATATAGTGGCATACTGGAATACAGTTAATCAATGCGTGATCTGAGCAGAATCAGCATACTGAAAATGTGTTTGTCATGTCAACAAGTGATTTTCACAAAGTTGCAAACATGCGTCAAACACTCAGACTGTCTTGTGCTCCTAAATGGAGGGATGGGTTGAACTACCTGTGCTAAGCCAGCAGATGGCACTATATACATGTAGAAACATTACATGTATGAGTACCTATGTACAGTATATTTGGGCTGTGCGGTGTTTGCTTTTGTGTTGCAGATTCATGTAATAATGTGGGGTCATCCACTTCAGCTGACTTGCAGCAGCTGGGTCCAATGCTCCTATGCAGTCACTATAAAAGCTGCTACCTCTCTCAGAGAAACTCTCTCCATTCACCTTATTTGGATCCTTTATTTTTCCTGCACGTCTCTGACGTCACTGCCATCCACATCGAATCTCTTTGTGCAATTTAATTTATATTTTTTTATAAGTCGTGTCAGTCATGATAATAAGACAGATCTATCATATTCTTTTCTTTGGCAGCAGTAGCTCAGTCTGGTGGGAACCTGGTTCAAGTCCCCAAGTACGGAGTGTGGACTGGCAGCAGGAGAGGTGCAAATCCTCCTCCTGTGCACTGCCAAGGTGCCCTTGAACAAAGCACCGAACACCAAAACTGCTCCAGGGGCACTGTAATATGGCTGAACCTGCACTGACACCCCTCTGAAATGCATTTATATGGTGTGTTGGGACACGTGCAGCTTTGTGTTACGAAAGACTGCCTTGTGTTAATTGACAAATAAGGACATATTATATTGTTGTTATTATTTAAATGACCTTGCACATGTCAAAAACCATCACTGGTGTCAATATGGGCCCTATTATTAATATTATTGTCATTAGAAGTATGAGGTGTTGATAGAAAAGGTTATAAGGGGGCAACGTAATGATAGTAATAATGACTATTATTACTTGTTTTGCTTACATCACACTGTTCAGCTCTCATATTGTCGTGGCCGCCTTCCTCAAAACTTCATACAAATCAACACATCTATGGCATCCAATCAGCAATGCCCTCGTTCACCACAGCCCTTTTCCCCTGATGCCTACGTGCTCTTTCTCTCCTACCTTGTTTCTCACATTTTTTTTCTCATTCATTTCTTTCATGTCCTACCTTTGATTCAATTACATAAAGCTGTGGGAAAAGTGACCTTTCAATATGTGCCACTGACAGAGTTACATCTGTAACATAAACCGTGCCATGTACAACAGATGTGAAACATAACGGGCAAATAGAAGACACATACTCTTGCACAAAGTCTTTCGATGTACAACAAAGACAGAGGAAACACGCTCTGGTTCTCGGTTCTTGGTCCATGGGAGCACCAGTCAGCAGAGATCTGTGGGAACGTCTACATCACACTGCTCATAGGGACACAGACGTGGGCGGCTAACGCACCAAAGCAAGCCTATACAAGCCAAACACTATTTGTCTTGGTGCTCATCCCAACCAGCTGGAGCCAGACTGAGAGGGAGGGAGTATATGAATGTCAGAAGAAAAGCCAATCGGTACCTATCAGTCCATTGGTTAAACGTTATAACATCCAGATTGAGTTCTTGTCCAATGTGTTTGAGGATGGAAGAAAAATCAAGCCTGTTTCCTGGTGTCGAGCACCGTCGCTGATTTCAAGGGTTTCATTTTCATCAGCTCGCTCCCCTCCTCGGCCTAAAAACATGCCAGATCCACTTTATAATAATTACAGTGTCATGACAGTAGTAAGAGAGTCTTGTAAAGATGCACAAGGACTCAAATGATGAAAAATTTTAGACATCAGAGCTCCAGTCTCCAGGGGCTCAGTCGTATAAACAGTCAGAAATTATTGCTTTATTTTTTTGTGACAGCAAAACTCTCAAGAGTGTCATTTTTTTTAGTTCATTGCAGATGAATTCTGCGTGGGGAGGACTGTAATACATGTGAGAGAGAGAGAGAGAGAGAGAGAGAGAGAATGTGTGTGTGTATGTGTGTGGGTGTGGGTGGGTGGGTGTGTGTGTGTGTGTGTGTGTGCCTGTAAATAAGAAAAGTGTGTTAGCTGTCTCAGTTCACAGTATCAAGTTATGTTAGATCAAAGGCGGCTGAAATCAAGTTGCGTGCCGCACAGTGAGCGTACCAGGACTGAACTTAGATTCTGCTGATTTTAAAAGTGATTACATGAGACTGTGACCTTTTGACCTTTCAATGCTCTGAAAACAGGATTAGAAGATACACATAGGGATTAAATCTAAACTAAAAAAAAAATTAAATCAACTAAAACTAAATTTTTTTAGGACACATCACTATCAAGCATCTGTTCACAGGTTTTGTTCTGAGTGTTTTTTTTACTCTGAATTTGTCATTTGTTTTTAATGGTGGCTGATTATTTGAAACTTTAGATTTTGTGTTCCTGTGTACAAAATAAATTAATGAATATTAATTTGTTGCAAATCAAATGACACATTCACTTCCGACAACAGACTACAACAAAGACTGTGTTGTGAATTAAATATTATGGCCTGTTCTTCTTTAAATAAATTCCTGTAAAACCATGAATGTAAACTATGCCATGCACATGTTAGTAATAATGTCCTTTCTTTTCGTACTGAGCCACCACGATGTGTCATTTAGGAGCTGCATCACCGGAGCAGACAGAAGGTCAGAGGCCGGTCAAGTGACACTGACTGACAAAAAACGGGAACATTTATTTCTTCATGGGCTGAACTTTTCGGTTACGGAAACATTTATTCACCAGGCTGCCTGTTGCATGTCTCTGTGAGCTTCCGGAGGTTTAAAACCAAATCTTACCAGAATCTGTCTGCTTGTCGGGTGAACATTGAGCCAGCACGCCTTCAGTCTGAAGATCCTCCCAGTTTGATGTGTCGGTGGTCATTTAATGATTAATGTTTACCTCTAAAGTGACGTGTAGGTTGAAAAAACATTTTAGTTTGTGGTTGAATACCTTGAGATAACTACATGACTTCAAGATAACTGAAAAACCATGACTGCTTTCAGTCCACCGAGTTTAAAAAAAACAAAAAACAATGAAGATTTCAGAGTATGGTTTAGTGTTAAAAATAGAGTGAGGTTTAGGTTGGGGCGAGTCAACAAAGGTCCTCAAGATGCAGCACAGAGGCAAACAGCTTTCAGTTGTGCATCTATTTCTGCACCTGATAAGTTTCAATGGTTGACAGTCCAGATTCAATTGTATTAAAGAATCAGTACAGTGGGCTGGATTACAATTTAGAGGAAACTTTTTCTAGTTTAATTTGTAGCCTATTTGTGACTTTTTTTTTTTATTTTAAGACTTATTAAACCACTCAGACAATGACTGACAGATTGAGAGGGCCGTCCTTCACTAAACAAGCTGTTCGCCAATGAACACTCATGTGATTTTCTTGTCTGTTAACTTGGTCTGATTAAAATGCAGAATCTGTCAAATTGTCTCTACTATTACTGTCTTTCGGCAGATGAATTCAGTCACACCTAATGAGCCCAAAGCTTATGTGTAAACATGATAGTGATACCAAGAGTGTGACTATAAGGGCCCCATTAGTCAAAATTACACCACTAATTGACTAAGAAAGGGGATAACCCTGTCAGCTAAGAAAACAAGCAGTCATTCACTGACTTCAAGGAATGGGTTAACATTTTGGGAAATACACTTACAGAGTGCTCCAGTGATGACGTTTTTCTGTAGGCTGACATGGAAGTTAGCATCGCCTTGTTTCCCTCGTCAAAAAGCCTATGGAATTTTTCCATTGGATTTTGGATTATGGCAGAAGATAAACTCAGTGGTTAGCAAACGTGATATTGTTAAGTTTTGATCAGCAAGATAATCTTCACAAATGAACACCACTTTAATGATTTTTGAAACCTAAAAGCAATTACCAGAAGTAAAAAGCTAATATTAGGCTATATGAACTAGGCCGACAACTACAGTTATGGCTTAGGGCCGTTTCATAGTCGACGCACGCAACACGAGCAATGCACTTCCTTTCATAGTCAACACATTGAATGCAAGCGACGCAGACGACACTTGAAATGCAATATATCGCTCGTGCAATAGGGGGTAGCAGAGTCACCGGTACATTCTAGCTAGTACTAGCTAGTACTGCTGTAGCTAGCTAGTACTGCTATTTTATTAGAGTGCAGGGCACTAGAACTGTCATATAAATGGGGGTGTGCCCGTACGAGTTCACAAAGTTTATCCTCCTTGCTCTCCATATTTCATACCTGCTTCTTCTGTGAATAACAAAAAGTGGTTAATTTCAAGTACGTCGCGTGCTCAGCATGATGACTTTCTGTAGTCTCATTTGGCCACTTGTTAGCGACCACCTTCTTTAAAACACATAAAAGCTTCAAAATTCACTAGTTGGGTGTTTACTGGCGCTTGTGTTAACCACAGACCTTATTTCAGGCATCTAACCAAAAACCCATTGACTTAAAGACAAGGGAATTTTGAGTGACAAACTGCTAACTCATTTCCAGGTTTTAGGACTCATTCCTTGGGCACTCTATTTGCTTTCTTGTCTAAAGTTAACTAGCTAACCTGGCTAGGTGAGAGATGGTTGCTATCACTTTCGGGTCTGTAAAAGTAGCCTGGTGAAGTTAGCTTAGCGCAAAGGCTGAACACTGGAGGAAACAGCTAGCCTAGCTGCAACTCTAAAGCCCAGAAATTAATATATCTCCTTTCTTAATTCCTATAACAAGTGAATAATAAAAATATGACAATTTACCATTTTACGGCAGGGAGCAGTAAGTTAACTTTCCATGTCTGTTGGTTGCCTAGCAACAGCTCCTGGCACATAAGCTGTATTCATGTGGTGTGAGAATTATTGGAAAAAATGAGTTCCCAACTGGGACTATTTGAAGACATGTATAGCTGCAACCACATTCTGTCTGACGCCTACACAACCCAAATTCAGTGGAAAAATCCCAAAGGCTTTTTGACGAGTGTGATGCTTATGTCCACAACGGCCTAGAGAAAAACGTCATCCCTGAGGCACTCAATGGCAGTGGCTCCCAACTGGTGGGTCATGGTCCAAAAGTGGATCACAGGTACATTCCGAATGGACCGCAAGTGACTTGCGAAAGTGTCAAATTTGTAAGAAACACACTTTATTTTGAAGTACAGTGAATTTCCAGCACAAAGCTTTTATTTTAAGGTGCCGTTTTCTGCTGTACAGTGAGTGAATAACAGACAGCTACTTAACGAAGACAGCAAACTAGCTAACATGGCCAAACGCAAGTATGACGCTGAATATATTAAACTAAGTGGACCTTGAACTAATGTCTAAGGAGAAATTTTGACCCCGTGGCTGAAACCGGTTGGGAACCACTGCTCTATGGCATCACGACAGACCCCAGAAATTGCAGTACCACTCTTTGGCCACTACGAAAATCGGCTTCACTGCCTGGCTCACTTCCTGGGGACCTGATCTATACCTATTTAAAAATTCAGAAAATTCAGGTGAACACCCCTTCAAGTCAAAACAACTCAGAAAGTTAAAGAAAATTTTGATACCGCTGCTGAGCTAATTTTATACATGCATTAACATGGCAGATTAAAGTAACGTTAGCCTTTAATATGTTCAGTTGATGGTAATAGACTTTTTTAAATTCACACATTCTATGCAAATTTTTGTTCACATGAATTTTATTTTGTAATAAAATACAACACATCTTTTTTTGCAGTATCCATGTTGTTTCCACATTATGATTTACAAGTTCACGAACACAACAAAGTCGGATAACGACTTTTCAACTCTGAAATACGTCCTTCCGAGGAGCACCTAAATGCAGCAACAGTTTAAGGTTACGTTACTAATGGTTCAGTCCGTTCAACCGCAACTGACGGTTTTTCGGTTTTGGTGAGTTCAATGTCAGAAAAGAGATATAAAAACGTAAACTTTGGGTAACCCGGTAAGTGTAATTTTGTCACCTTTAAACAGAGAGATACCTTGCCGCTTTCCCCTTTCTTACAGTGTTTCTGCTAAGCTAATTTAGCCGGCTGCTAGCTTCAGCTATTTCACTATGCTATGTTGGCTCTAGCTTAATTCTCGGTAAACGGGCGAGCATTTCCGAAAAAAGTCGAACTGTTCCTGTTATCAATTTGGCAAAATTCAGCGTAGGAACAATTAAAAAAATAAAATAGCACATAAACAACCGTGTCTTCATTTTAAACGTTTTAAATTACCTGCTCAAAGAAGTTCACATGAAGTAAACCAGAGTTGTAGTTAAAGGGTAATTTGATGCCTCTGCGTGTGTCCTCAGGATCCCGGGCTGAGCTGAGCTGAGAGGAGGGAGGAGAGAGGCAGAGGCAGGCAGACACCGACCACAGCAGCAGCAACAGCAGCAGCATGACCAGAAACCTCCACTGCAAATAGACCTGACCACTTTGACACTGAGCTCCCGAGGAAGCGACGAGGCGACGCCACGGTTTCACGCACATTTCACGCAAGCCAAGAGGACGATCGGACTTCAGAAAGCGAGTGGGCTCTGTCAGCTCTACGCCTCAGAAACACTGATCAGGTCAGTCACCTTCCGCTCGGTTCACTGTTTGCTGCGCTGTGTGTGTGTGTGTGTGTGTGTGTGTTGTGGCTGCTGGTTGGACTGTAACGCACTGCAAACCACCTTAAAAGTAAATTAATCAACATCAACATTTAGTCTGCTGTTATTGAATGCAGAGTACTACACAGTCTGCCTCTGATATTAAATAGTTATGCGTCTTTTCAAAGTTATTGATACACAGACACTCAAACAGGAAACTTCTTCATTTATCCATCCTTGTCAAATCTCCCTCTTGTTTTAAGGAGCTCTGTTAGACTGCCGGATGTAATATTTTCTGAAGGTGGACACTTTTTTGCAGTGTGACGGGCTACCAGTGGCGTATAGATTGGGGGTGGTGATGGTGGGCGGGGGGGTGCGGTCACAGCACTGACAACTGGCACACAGTCAGGTGTTGGTCCATAGTGTGTCTGCGGGACCACAAGCGTGAGTGTCAGTTTGACATGCAAACACCAGGCAGAGATTTTCACCATCAAAGTGGTCACAACTTCTCAGGTGAGTACAGGAGACTGTCTGTGTCTCACTCCCTCTTATATAAGGTTTATACTGCTGAGCAACTTTAATGGGTAACTCCAGACTGTTTATATATATAATCTATACACTATTTTCTAATGTCTTTATTCTCAGTGTCATGTGAGGGATTTGTAGATATTGCTCAACATTCAGGCAGTTCTGTGTTTTTCAATTGAGTGGAAAATCTTGGTCATGACTCAGCATTAATTGTGTGATCACAAGCTCAGGGGCCAAGAGTGATTTCTCTCTGAGGTTTGCTGTGTGACTCCACAGTAGCTGATGTGAACTGGCCTAATGCTGCTTTAAATGAAATGATAATGGCACTTGGAAAGAGAGCGAACATGTTTGCTGTACAAGACTCAGGCTGTCAGTGCCAACTGTAGGTCTGGTTGTTCACCACATCCGTGGAAATCTTCCTTCATCACTCTGTATGATGTTAATGTCAGTGATCTGACAAGACAGTGAGCAGTCAGGTAAAACTTACAGCAAATTATTTTGCTACCTTAAACTAAATGTTACACATATCTAAAGCAATTTAAGTAATTTGTGTTCTTAATATTCATAGGTCTAAAGCTATAATTCAGTCAAGTTTACTTAAGAAGTTATGGTGCGCACTTGCCAACTAATTTAAGTAATTTCATTTTTAAGAGGAAAAAAGGTCAAAATTCTCTGATTCCAGCTTCCAAAATGTGAATATTTTGTGGTTTCTTTATTCCTTAAACTAAACTATCTTTAGGTTTTGAACAAATCAAAATATCTGGGGACGTCGTCTTGGGTTTGCGGAAACACTGATCAACATTGCTCACCATTTTCTGCCATTTTATAGACCAAACTACTAATCAATCAATAGACTAACTAATCAATAGAATAATTGATAATGAATATAATTGTTAGTTGCAGCCCTACTCACCATTATGTCTGCTTTTATTTTTGTCAAATTTTATGTTATTGTGGTGATGCAGCTCAAAGAGCAAACGGCACTACATTATAAAAAGAATAATAAATCTATATTCATGTTCACTGTGATAAATGATCTGTCAAGCAAGTTTAAAGTCTCGGCAAGTTTATTTTAACAGTGTATTGACAGTACTTCAAACCAATCGCTGCCTGGCACACAGGAAATCAGTCCACAGGGGCTCTGAAACAGATGCTGCAGTAAAGTACAGTAGTAGTATATGGTAGATATTGTTGGAAATAAATGAGGTAAAACATGCTGAACCATTTGTGCTGTTTTTAAGTTATGCTGTTATGTCACTTAACACTCAGTGGTACAAATGTTAGTGGAAATCAATATCTCTGTAAAATATCAGAACATATAAGGGGCAATCTCGAGTTCGCCGGGTAGAATGTGTGCCCCATATAGGCTGAGGCCTTTGCAGCGGCCCCGGTTTGATTCCAACCCGTGACCCTTTGTTGCATGTTATTCCCCCTCTCACTCCCATAATTTCCTGTCAATTTGTAGCTGTCCTGTTATTAAAGGGAAAATCCCCAATGGAGATTTAAAAAAATCAGAACATATGATAAGAAGGAAAACATTCAAAAAAATCACAGAAAGTCAGATAAACAATGCACAAGTAGTTGTCCAGAAGTAAGATGCCCTCTGTCCTTAAAGCCAACCAGACTGATGAGACTAAATGACAGAAAAAGAAAGAAAATCATACTTCTTAAAGATTAAATACTTAGAGATACAAGTTTATACAAACAACCCCATAATGATTAAATAACTGACATTACCCATCAAGGTGATGCTATATAAATTATGAGGTTTTCAGAAGTAGATCAATTCAGTTCTAAGTTTATTAAAGGTTAAAACTTCATCCCTGATGTAACGTGGCTATTTTAGAGTAGGAGAACATATGATGAGGTTGTGGTTGAGAAATTTCTCTATTTTGGAGAAGTTATAAAAGGTCATTTCTCTGATTAACAGTGCTCATCCAGATTAATGTCACAATATACCTTTCACATTTTTAACTCAATAACTTGCTTAATTAGGGAATTATGTGGCATTAATCTTTTTGTTTCAAGCATGAGTTATGTTTTTTTCACTGAGTGTAGAAAGTTGCGTCTGATGGATTGTAATCTGTGCGTGAGTTGCTTTAAGTGTGACTGCCTGGGTAAGTGTGTTGATACAGCGCCAGTCAGTGAATTATTGCTTATCAAGTTATATAATTCCTAAAGAGAGGTGTGTGCATGTATGCGTGTGTGTAAATGACTGAGACAAACGTGGACTTTGCTCCTAAGTCGTAAAAGAAAGGAGTGTCTCGAGATACCATGCTATGTTTATGTTGTCCCTCACATGGCATGAAAGTTATGTTTAACTATCTGCAGACATCACACTCCCACACTAGGCTTTGTTTGAGTCGGTGCAAAAACCAAATTCAGGTTTTTGGAGACGCCTCCACACCAAGAGTCGGGTTGGGTTTTAAAATCTGTGTTAATTTAAAGCAACAGCTGTCAATCTTCTAAGCAGTTGTTTGCAGTGGCTTTAAAAAGGTATATGTGAAACCTCTGTGAGAGCTAAACATAATCACTGCATGAAAGGAAGGAAGATGTTCAACTGCGTGTTTTCTACATGTATAAATAAGCAGATAAAAAGAGAGTGACACACTCAGCCCACAGAAAGTTACCCACTTTTGCCTCCATGCCGCCGACATCCTGGTTTGTTTACTATAATTCAGTCTTTCTTATTGTTATTGTGAACGTTTTCACCTCTGATTTGATTTTATCAGATGACATTGAGGCCATGTTGACTCAGTTAAGCCTAAAGGTCATCAATTAGCCTTTTTAAATTGGGTGTAATTATTAACTTCAAGGCCAATCATTTCAACATTTACCATCAAGTTACAGCAACTTTTTTTTCTTTGCTGGATTTATGTAGACATAAAACTAAACTTACCACACAAACAGCTTGTTTGCTGATAAAAAAATTTTAAAAATCAGCTCTACTAGTTAATCTTTTATGGCTCCGTCATACCACAGCATCCTTTTTGTCTTTACAGAACAATCTTAAAAAGTATCTTTCTGGTTCTAGTGACTTTATTGTAATTAATGAGAATCTGGTTTTTATTATAAGTGTATTTTATCAGGATATGTTGTTTGTTTTTTTTTGTTTGTTTTTTTTTGCAGTATTGAAGCGTAAAATTCACATTCAGCTACTGTACAGTTTAAAAAGTCTATAAACGGGAGATGGAGTTTAACAAAGTGACTTAATCCTATCGTAACCTCTCAGGCAAACATGTTTACGTTAGTTTAATTTAAAAGTTGAGTATGTTGCATATGTTTAGAGGGTTTTTCCTTGTTCTTTTTTGAATATATTGACAACAGAAATAAAACAAGTATAACCGTTACACCTGTTGACATTTTCTCTCCCAATAATAACAAGACGCTGTGGAGAAAATGCGCTTCAATCACAATAACACCTGCCGTCTGAGAGGTGATTCATGTTCAGGGAAAAGTCAAAGCAAGTTTCCAGTTTTCATCTCTTCAATCATAAAATTAAATGTGTAAAAGTCTGTGTCTGGGTGAGACAAGATGCAGACGGTGACTCTTGGGCCATGCGTTTTCAATTTAAAATCATATCTGTTTCTGTAACATTGTCTCATATCCACACTTTTATTTATCGAAATCCTTTCTCAAAATGATGCCACCTGCCTGCTGAAGACTGGATGCTGTGTAGCAGTAATGTTAGGAAGCGGACTTTAGTGAAGAAGTTACAGCAACAAAAGACGATGTTTCTGTTCTGTTGGCCCTTTCTTCAGTACAAAAAAAACATGTAGAGGATGTTTAGTAAGACGCTAACTCTTTTCCTCCTCCCCGTAGCTTGTTTTGGATTGTGAACATGAAAAACAGTCCAGCTGTTCACTGTGAACATCATTACAATATACAGACCAACTGTCTGATCCAATTATGATCTACTTACAATAGTTATGCACGTAAACCATTTCCCTCTGCAGTAGGGATGCACTCATTGTGAAATTCTGGGCCGATACAGATGTTTTTGGTTGTTATTTGTATTGTTTTTTGTTGTTGCTTATCCCCTCTAAATGCCAGAGAAACAATTAAATCTTTATCACAAAAAATAACAGCCATTTCAGAGTCATTCAGGCCTTCATTACACTTCCTTCGAATGAGCACAAATTCAATCAAATATATGAAACAACCTTTAAAATAACCTTTTTTTTTATGTGAATTTTTTTTAAAAAAACATAACTGCTTCCAAAGTCTTTTTATCATATATAATTTATGATAATTCCCTCTGTACAACTGTATTTATTCAGGTTTCTCGCCAAAAAATATATTTTACATGACTAGTTTGAACACATTATAGGACATTATAATTTACCTTGGCCCAATACTCAATTTTACTGAATAAAGCTTACACCCATCATAATGTAACTCAATGTAACCTGCGTCAACAATTAGTTCCTGTCACTGACTGCTAACAGCTGACTTTAACTAGCTCTCCTCCTGCCAATGTCAACAGGGATTTGTTTGTTGTTCACAGTGTAACTTTAGCATTATCAGGGAAACAATAGGGTGCATCCCCTGGCACACTGATCCTGAGTTTACTGCTTCCTTTCAACCCAGGGAAGATCTCTGATCGTCCCAAACGCATTTCCTATTGTGCCCTGGACAATGCTAGTTTTTGAGCCCTACTTTTTAAGCCCATGCAAAATTGATGTGAGACAACGAAAAACATCGAACACTGCCACAGGTGAATGCCATGTTATTTGTGGATAGGCTGATGACAGTCAACAAGGCAAATATCAGGGGGAACAGATGTGCAGAGGTGCATCCGTTCTGTGCAGTCAGGTATTGTTATTGTCATTTTGGGAACAGCTACTTGTGGTTTTAATATTAAACAAAGTGGTTTAGAAAATGTGTTGCTTTTTTACAATCTGTGTGATCGTCTGACCGGTTGTCTTTGTTGTCCAGACTCTGTTGTAACAATGTCACCATGTTTTCAGATATTAGCAATTACT